GACCTGTACCTCACCGTGTGTGAATGGCCAAACGACCACACCAAAATTGTCATCTTTGGTTTCAAGTAGGAAGTACTGCTGGCACACTTGATCTAAAATTATGTCAACGCCGATGTTTAGCTAAGAGGTCTTTCCTGCTCAGTACACGCAGCTCAAGTTCTGTGTTGATGAACCTGATGATGAGTGATGAGAATAACCGGGACATCTACATCACCATCGCCTCCATGCCTCCGTCCCGGTCGTGCTCAAAGTGCTGTCCGCTTCCTTCGGCCTCGACCATACGAACAGGTGAACCCCCACGCGCACACAGCTTGCTCCTGCTCTTGCCTCCTTCTCCCAGCCGCATTAATCCGTTTGCCTCCCGCAGGAAGTGGCGAGTGCCTCGAACACGGGTATGTGCTGAACAGCAGGTACCAGGTGGTGTACCCGTTTCCCACGTTTCAGCCAGCTTTCCAGCTGAAGAAGGACCAGGTCGTCCTGTTGAACACTAGCTACTCTCTGGTGGCCTGCGGCATCTCGCTCTGCCCCGGTGAGGCCAAAACACCACGAGAACGATCTGAGAAGTTGGCACGGATACATGCGACACTTTCAGATTGCAATGCAAAGAAGAATTAAAGCAGTGTTTAACTTCACATCCACTCTTAAATGATGTTTGTGTTGTACAGCTCTAAACCTTCTCCTAAAAACCACTGAGGGACTCTATCTTTATTAGGTTAAGCAGAAAGGCCTGAGCCTCTCACATGTTGTTTGAAATGTTTTTAGCTGCAGATTTATCATTTGATATGCAATTTAATTATTGTATAAAATGTTTTCTTATTGACAAAATGAATTATTTGTTTTCTTGCATCAGTGTTGTGTAAGAGACACTAAAGTGGTAAAATGACAGATCTGCAGAATGTAATCCAGTTAGTCGTCAGAATCATCAATTACTAAAATAATCATTAGTTGCAGCCCTGATCTTTATCATAATTACATATTGTTCGTCATCATTTGCCTTACATGTTTTCTTAAAGTCGATCAGTAAAATTTTATTTGTGGAGCACATTTCAGCAACCAGGCATTTCAAAGTGTTTCACATAATAAAAACACAAAATTATGCAACGTAGAATCAACAATTGAAACGTTACATTTAGTTTAATGCCATCGTTAAATTCTTAAATCGATTATGTTTTGAAAGCAACTCCAAGGGGACGTTTTCTAGTCCACATGCAGCGCAGGTCAGGGTTTTTTTCTCTAATCTGTGTTCACTTTCCTTTCAGAAAAACCAGGCCAATCATCCCAGATCCTTTACGCAAAGGGAGCTTCCCAGTCAACTCAGACCTCATCCTCTCTCTCCTCAACGTCTCCTGATTGTTCAGCGTTACCCCAGGGATCTCCAGAAAGCCGACTTTTTCCTTGTAGGACCCCTCCGGTTCCCTCGTCGCCCAGCCAATCGCAAGCAGCCATGAGAGCCCGGGAGTTTGCTGCCGACCTTTTCCGGCGAGCCCAGGGCGGGTTCGGAGCGGCCAGGGAGACCGAGCGCCCCGGGGAGAGGAGAGCAGCTGACGGCGACGAAAAGGAGGCACCGCATAAAGCGGCAGATAAGGGGATTAACGCAGACCCCTCAAGAGCAGAGGAGGATTGTAAAGACAGGAGAGCAGAGGACAGACGGACTAGTTCACAGCAAGCGTCTACGTCATGCGGAAGCCCTCGTCTCGCCGCGTCTCCCGCCTCTCCCGCATCGTCATTTCCATCGACCTCGGCGCCGTCCTCAAGCCAGGAGCAGAGCCCCAGCGAACCCGGATACGTCAACTACTCTCGTCTCCATTACCGCCTCCAACAGCAGGGGGCAGCAGAGCAGAGTTCAGGAGGAGGTGGGGATGAGAGTTTCAGTGGCTCACAGTTCCTTCCACACTTTCCTTAGTAAACCAATGGTTTGTTTTTCCAGGCTATGAAGACGATAAAGTCCAGCTGCCTTTCACTGTTACCGATCTAAAAGGAAGAAACCTGCAGCTGGTCACTGGGCCGCACAATGGACAGGTGTGTGTAACGTTGTTATGTAAGCGAATACGTCCGTCAGACACAACCTTCACTGGCAGTAAAATAATTGCTTGATATGACTTTTGCAATCTCATACTGAGCTGCTTCTGCGTTAGTCATAATGCCGTGGGGTTTTCATTGTGTGTTGTGCTGCATTCATTGAATATATGGTCGTAATAACGGAACAAACCATTCAAGTTCCCATTTAGCCAGTTTCAAGCTGCCTTTGTGTTTCTGCGGCAGAGTGTTTGTGTAGAGCAGCTGACTCTGGATTTTGAGTATCTCATCAATGAGGTGATCAGGAGCGACGCTGCCTGGGCTCCTCTGTTCTGCTCCTTCAGCGATTACGACGTCGTGATACTAGAGGTAAATACACAAGTTTGTTGGCATGAGTCACAAAGTTCAAACCTGTAAGGAATGTCTACAGAATTGGGGAAAAGAGTTTATTTTTTTCATTATCAAGGAAATAGTAGGTCGAAGCTTCCATAGAGGAAGGGAAAAAAAGCAAAAACATTTCATTCAGTGGCTCCCAGAAATCTTCAGACCGCTGTTAAAATGTCAGCATTTTAACCGCTTAAATTTTAACATACTTAAATTTGGACAAGTTGTGAAGTTAGACAATTTCCTGAAAACATAGAACACGAAAGATTAGCCCTATTTGAGTTTTGGATAGATAATCTGGATTTTATTTATTGTTTCTGACACTTTTAGAAAACTTTGTTTTTGTGTGAACCTTTTTACCTTGACGCTGCTGTCACACCCAAATTTGTTGTCTGCTGGACGATGAAGTGTGTTTCTATTCTATCCTAAAGTATCTTGTTTGTTGGCTGCACAGCAGGAATCCTCTACAGTTTGATTCATTTAACGTGATGAAAACTGAAAAATGTGAGATTAATACATGAAGAGGGCTTCTGCTCCTCAGGTTTGCCCAGAGACCAACATTGTGATGATCAACATTGGCCTGCTGCTGTTGGCCTTCTCTGTCTCAGACGAGGAACACTGCAGGTTCTCTTCCTCTTCCTCTTCCTCCTGATTCTGCTCTCGAGCTTTTTAGCTCGGCGTTTCTCTCTGATCTCATTTTGTGTTTTTCAGGCCAAACACGTACCATTCCAACCTGCAGGTCAGCTGGGACCTTAACACAGGCGTGTGTCGCACTGTGGGCGTGGGCGACCTGACGGAGGTTAGAGGGCAGACGAGGTGAGTCCACACACACACACACACACACACACACACACAGAAATCTGAGTCTTCCTTCAAAAGCTGAGTGTAAAGGGTCATTCCTCTCTGTCCCTGGTAGTGGGAGTGTGTGGAGTTCCTACAGAAAGTCGTGTGTGAACACCGTGATGAAGTGGTTGGTTCCTGAGACCAGCTCCCGCTACATCAACCGCATGACCAACGATGCTCTGCACAAAGGTGAGCGCAGCCTTACACACACACACACACACACACACACCTGTGTCGCGTCATCAGTTTCCTCAAATGAACCGGGATGAACATAAAACCAGTGTTGGGCAATTTTAGCGGTTAATCTAAATTTTGGTTTTTGGAAGATCAAGATGTTTTTTTTTTTTCACCATTGCTGTCTTTGGGGTTTTCATAGTTCTGAGTGATGTCAGCACGCCCCGAGCCGCCATCTTGCTCTACAGCCGAGTTTTACTGCTTCTGTTTATTTGGACTCAGCGCAGTGATAGGGCTGGACTAAGATGTCTTTTATTGTTCATTTTAATTACGAGAATAAATCAAACGATTGCCAGGATCCAGTCGTAATGTCAGACAAATGAAGTAGTAATTTTATGAGGACTCCAGCGTGATTTCAGGAGATTTCACAGCTTTAAGATGAACTGAGAACTCTGGGAATTTGAATAAAAACCTTTTGGATGTCGTGTGCGAACCCCCCGCCTCATTTTAAATAGTAACTGTGTGGAAAAAGAACATTGTTCCTATAAAATGTTCTGACGTCTTGATCAACTCGTCTCGCTCAGGCTCATCCCTGCAAGTGTTGGCAGACAGTGACCGATGCACCTGGATCGTATTATGAAGGAAAATTTGGAAACCAAATCACACGCTGAAGACGCGTCCTCTCTTCAGCGAAGAGCTCACAACACAGCAGCACTCTCCACTGTAGAGGTTTTATTTTGAGTTTAAAAGTGGAATTAAAACTAACCAAACGAAGGCTTGTCTGCTGCAGATTTAGTTTGTTTATAGATTTGTAGTTGTTTTTTTAAAAAAATCTTTACTGTAACATTGCAGCCACCAAAACCAAGAGCTGAACTGAACAAAGATGTCCTTTGTACTTTGTCGTTTTTGTTTGTTTCTTTTTACACAGGAAGGTTTGCTGTTGATGTTCGACTGATTTGTTATAATTCAGTGGAGGCTCATGTGTGAGGATGAGGGTGAAGTTGAATGTTGACTTTGTGTGAAACACGATGCACTCGACGGCTTTTGGACAAGTGTTCCCTCGCAGTCCGGGTCAGTTCAGTCCCCCACAGTGTTCCGAACCAGAACCAGCTCTGCGCTGTTTTCATATTCCTGTCATTATCATCTGCCAACTGGATCTGACTGGAAATATTTTTGTTAAATTAAAATATCTGAATTTAGATGTTATTTTGAGTCTTTTGTGGTCACAATCTGACAGATTCCTTCACGTTACAAGATTGTACTTTAAAAGAGCAGCGTTGTTTAAGTTTACTTACTTAAAAATAAGATATGTAACGTTATGTCAGAGTTAAGATTGATATGTTTAATTTTAAAAAATTAAATTTGAACTTTTAATATGTATTGCAATATATATATATATAAATATATATATATATATATATATATATATAGGACCAAGTTAGGCCTTCAAGTTTTTAGTATATATATATATATATATATATATATATATATATATATATATATATATATATATATATATATCTTGATCAGATGAGAAAGATGTACATACAGGTGAGGAACAAAGACGGGACAAAACTCAGGCGTGGAGAGGAATCACTTCTCTTTAATTGAGGGGACGAAGCTACAAACGTCGATCACAGATTTAAGTACAAAGATCTCCAGTTCAACATCAAAGAGGACAAAATTTAGAAAAGAGGTTCCCCAATACAAGCAAGGAACAAATTCACAAACTTTGACATCAAAAGGTTAATTTATACTTTTCAAGTCTGATGTTTCTGTCATGTACATTTAAACAGAACGTAGCATTTTCTTTTTTCCTTTTCCTCTGCGAAGATCTTTGGCGGGATCTCGGTGAAGAGATGGTCCTGAGAGACATCCCACTGTTAGAATTTTTGACATTCACACTTGGAACAAAAATATAAGTCATTTTTGCTCATGCAACACACGAAGCTGCAGGATGTGAGCGTTATGTTCTTTGGAGGAGGGAGAGGAGGGGAGTCCACACAGAGCCACCATGCTGAGACCGTTATCACAGAGGAAACGCCCGCGCCATGGTTTCACTCCGGAGGATGGACAACATCTTAAGGCAATAATGGTAAGACGACATAAAAAATAGAGCAGATATAGATATTTAACCGTTTTCACAAAAGATACACGATAAAATTCATCCACAGTATGCCATTTCATAAAATATCGACTTTCTTCTCTACTAAAAATCTCTTGAGACAGCTGCAAGCAACGGAAATGCTCCCAAAGAGCCGGGATGGGCTTTGGCCTGGCCGTGTGACCCGCTGAGAAGGGCCACAGTATTGTAGAAAAGGTGTGTGTGTGTGTGTGAAGGGGTTTGCACGTAAACCAAAAGATGGGTGAAGAAAAGAAAGACCATCATCTAGCAGGAGTGCCACCATCTTTTCTTTTAAATAAATACACAACACCTTGCAAAATTATTCATACCTTTTTTTTTTTTTTTTACATTAGAACCAAAACCGTAAGTTTTTTTTATTGGGATTTTATGTGACGGGTCACTTGGAAGCAGTGAGCAACTATAACAGATTTCCAGTTTTACACAAGCAAAGAAAGGGACACATACTTTGCTTTCTTTTGTTCAGCAAGAAAAACATTTTTTTTTAAATAAAAAAAAACACCTGCGGGAAATAAATTCAATATCTCGATGTGGAAAGGTGGTAGAAACATACACCAGAGACATGAAGCTGAAACGGAGTTGAAAGATTTATGCAAATAAAGTACTTCCTGGTGATCTACTCCATCAAAAACTTAATACTTTGAGATGCGATTTTAAACAAAAACGTTCAAAGGGTGTGAATACTTTTAACAGGCACACTAGTTACTAACTGTACTAAAGCTCATGACAACACCAAGACCACTTCACAGGACATTCATTTATTAATCCACAATGCAGAATAGAATATATGTGTTTATATAGATCACAGACTTTTTGTTTTTTTTCTTTGAGATTAGAAATCTCTTAAAGGCACAGATCATCAGTTAGGTGGCCAAATCAAAAACAAACTCCCCCCAAAAAAATATAATATGGCAACCTCACCAAAAAATGTTCAGACATAATTCATGCTGCTGTATCGTTCCAGATGCTACTCTCAGATGTACGTTTCTTAAGAGACATTAATTAAAGTCCTGCACCTCGCACCCCACTGCATAGTCATTTCATTAAAGGCAAGCAAAGCGTTTGAGTTAAAGAAGTGCTGCTGAAGGAGACGGGACGATTCTTATCGCTCCACAGCACTCAGGTCAGTGGTTAAGGCAGGACAGGAGGAAGTCAAGAGCGTGTCGTACTGACGGGTCAGGCTTGACGGGTCAGGCTTTACGGGCGTGGGGCTGGACAGACGGGGGAAGGCACAGGGAGCAAGGGGAGAAGACGGAGACGGTTGAGTGAAAGCAGAGAGGTCAACGACAGCAACACAAAAGTGCAGAACAGAGAGGAGAAAAAAAAAAATCAAAGATGGGCTCTTCCACATTCCCAGGTTTCACAAACAGACATGATGGGGACCGCCGTGGTTTCAGGACAGGATGGCATGGTCTGAAACGTAAAAGCGAGCGCGCGTTTAACTCAGGGTGACGCGCCGTGGGCCTGGGTCAGGGCGTGGTGCAGGTTCAAACTGGTCCTGGGCTGCTTGGCCGGCGGCTCCATGTCGCACTTCTCCTCGTCCACCTTCAGGGAGCTGGACTGCAGCATGATCTCGCCGCTCTCCTCCTCGCTGTCCTCCTCATCGTCCTCCTCCTCTTCTTCTGGCGGACAAATTTAAGAACGAGCATGAGCGAAAGATAAATCTTCTTACATAGAACGTGACAACTTCTTCCAGTTGGTGGCGGTAGTGTGCTTTAGGCTTCATTGACGAGACTCAACAGAGGAAGAAGTTGATATATCAGCCTAATTTCGGAATGTCATGGGAAATAAAAGGCTAAAAATATAGCTAGCTTATTGGTGCTATTCCTACAAAAACAAAGTCGTAGAAATCTACATCCCCATGAAATTAGGTTCAGCATTTACATCAACACGTAGCATCGACCGCACACTGGCACCACCTTCTGGATCAAACGATCACATTTACACAACATAACCATCTCGTTTTGTACAACATAAGCATGACGTTGTAATGCGACAGTGTGACGATGTTCAAAAATGTATTTTCCTCCGTGAGCGCAACGCTCCTCTGTGCATCAGGGATGTTTTCTTTACCTTTATCCAGATCTGGAGAGTTCGTGTTCTTGACGGTGCTGGCAAACTGCAACAGAGAAAAGACAAAACAGCAAAGATGAAAGGAAGATCGAAAAAAAAAAAAAAAAAACGGCCTCTTGCGCCGAGAGAGCGTGCGCCGTTAAAACATACTTCTCCCATGACCGCGATGGGCGTCTCCCCTTTGGCCTTGGCCACCCTGTGCTCGATCAGGTAGTACATGTACTCGTCGTACAGCAGGCGGATCAGGTGGAAGGAGCCGAAACTCGCGGCGCTGCGCAGAGTCAGGTCCCGGATCACCATGGAGCTGGGGAAGAAGGAGGTTGTGTTCAAAACGCATGTTGGAAGAAAAAGCCTGAAGCGTTTCCTCGTCTGGGTTTCACCAACATAAATGTAAGGCTTTTTAAGACAACTGTGAAAGGAATTTAAGACCTGCGTCTCCGCAGGAATGTACAAACTTCATCCGGCCAACTGGCAATAAACATGCACTTACCTATAGAAGGACCAGTTGAGCAGAAAGACTTTGGCCGCCTTGGGCAACGACGCTGGGTTTTGCTCATAGGGCTTTAGCACCTGGGAAACGACCCCGTCCAGCCAGGAAGCCCACTGCTCCAGGGAGTTCTGCTGCTGCAGCGTGGCCTTGAAGTCCTGCTCCAGCCGCTGGACCACGCGGTCTTCACACTGACACACCCAGGATGCCTGCTCCTGAGGACGGGGACACGGGGGCTCAGCGTCCGGCCGCCCGGCTCCACGGAGACGGGGCGGACAGCGAGCGTCAACAACCGACCTGCACGTTGGTGAAATCGACGCGGTTGAGGTCGGAGAGCATTTGGTTGATCTGAGCCGAGTTCTTGAGGACGGCCCGGGCGGCCTGCGCCAGGTGGTTCAGGCTGGTGTAGCGGCGTAACGTCTGGGAGAACGAGCCCACGCACACCACCTGGAAATGAAACGGAGTAGCAAATGGCCGGATGTCAGAAAACAAACACAAAAACAAAACAACACACAATAAACTTGTTTTTTCAATTTTTGGGGTGTTTAATTTTGCCAGTTTTGTCCAGCAGAGCAAAACATTTTGGGCACCACTAATCGAGGCATTAAAGTTCGACAAGAATCCCGCCAAAAAGACGGTTTGAGAAAACAACGAGACAAAATGTGGAGACGTTCGAGGGCTATAAATACTTTCCCAAAGTTTTGCATTCAAAGACATATTTAAACTTCTAGCATGTTTCTAAACCACCTTAATTAAGTTGTTCAAATACTGAAACTAAACAGGAAGTCTAAAACAACACAGCATGGCAACCGGTCTGTGAAAGTTCTCACACCTTGATGCGAACCATTTCCTCAGGGATGTTCATCATGGCGCCTGTCAGCCAATTCTCCAGACTCTTGGCAAAGTTGCGGATGGCCTGAGTTAAGGCACCTAAAGGCGGGAGATTTGTCATTAAGACAACAAAACGTACCATTGATCGCTCTAAACATTTGAAAACAAAGGCAAGCTAAATATGCAACCCACTGGTAAAAAAATCCCCCAAAACAAAACAAAAAAAAAAAACAACACATTTACTGTAGTTTTTTTTTTAATCAAAAATTTTTTACATAATTAATATGGAGAAATTTTATTTTTCTTGCTCTAGATACAAACATACGAAAGAAAGAAAAAATTGCTACAACATCAGTCGAGAGTCGGTCCCCAGGTTTCCCCGCTGACTTACTGGGGATGGGTCTCAACACGTCCGGGATCAGGATCTCCACCAGCGTCTGGTAGAGCAGGTTGTCGCAGTCCTTGGTCCACCGCAGCACCGGTTCAAACTTGCACAGAGCCACCAAACAGGACCTGGGCAACCGTTTCTCCGACTCGTTGTGACTGACGGAGGAGTTGCACAAGAGAAGAGCGTTTCTGTCTTTGTGGCAGTGAGTTAGGTCAGAATGCAACCTGAAACGTTCATTCATCTTATTGGGATTCTATAGGACAGTCAGGAAGTGGATGAAAGATACAGTTTTTTTTTTTGTTTGTTTTTTTTAATGTAAATAATAATATGCGACTCGTGCCACTGTGTCAATAAACCATTTATTAAAAAGGGATGTCGGAGTCAAAGGGGGCTAAACCCAGATGCACACCACACTTTTTAGATTGGTACTTCACTTCAACGTCACAGTCAGGCGCCACTGTGTCACATAAAATCCCAGTAAAATGAGAATAAGAATATAATTTCTTGATCACCAGACGTGACCAGAAGTTAATCCAGCCAAAGTACTAAATATTAGAAAATATCAGGCATAAAATGTATAGCACAAGTGTGAAATTACATGCAACTTAAATGAATGAAATTAAATAAAAACAAATATGTACATTGAAATATGCAAGCCTACAAATCCGCAAATGACTCCAGAGTAAATTTAAAGGCGTCGTACAGTCTGAAGGCTACGTGCAGAAATGACTTTCTGTGACAAAGTTCAAGTGGGAATTATTAATCCTTTTGAGACATTTCGCTAAGACGTTCATAATGGTGTTTAAGATGCTTACAGGCTGAGAGATTCGGCGTCGTTGCTCTGGCTGAACCTCCAGAAGGATTTCCACAGAGTCTCAACCAGAGTGAACTGCAGGTTGATCATCACATCCAGAACAGCCTGCGAGCGAGAGGGAGGGGCGCTACGTCAACGTTCGACCAGCCGGTGGGAAATGTATATTGTTTTTACTTTAAAAATCCAATGAGATAAAAAAGTCTATATATTTATATGCAGAAACAAATGGAATTCTGTCAGTGAGCAAAGCCATCCGGTTCCTACCTCACAGTGCTCTCTGTACAGAGCCTGGAAGGCCTTGAGGTGCTCCATGTGGATCCCATCGGGCAGGGATTGATCTTGAAGATCAATTTTCACAAATTCTGGCAGCAGCTTCGATGCTTCTGAAAGCACACACACACAAAACAGAACATAAACACATGAAACTTTATTTTTTTCTTCTCGTTTCAAGACTAAACAAACAAAAACACAAAGATGTCAGCCTCTGAAGCGTTTCATCAGTCATCAGGCTGAGAAGAAATCAACTGCTGTGATAAAACCAAGTAACAATAAACCAGAAGCGGAAACATTTGGGGTTCACGTTTCTCACCGAGGAACTGCTGATACTGTTGCACCTGGGCTGAAATATCAGAGAGCGCCGCCACCTGCTGCTGACCCGCCACACCCGACGTCCCGTTAGCGACGCCCGGCGTCTTCTGCAGTGGCTTTATCCTGTCAGAATCATCAGGAAAACGCATCGGAGCGCACAAATACCGTCAGAATACGACACGTGGGGAAAAGTAGAAAATTCATTTCAAATGTTACCAGATTTCCCACTGGATTTAGGTCTGGACTTCGACTAGGTAATTCTAACACATGCATATACTTTAATCCAAACTAATTCAATTTCAGCTCTGACTGTAGGTTTATATATTTTTATATGTCTGCAACCTTATGCAGCTCCATTCATCTTCCCATAATCTCTGTCCCTGCAGAAGAAAACATGCACAATGATGCCACCACCATGTTTCATCACTGCTATGATGCCACTTTGGCTATGTGCTATTGTACATGTACTGTATTCAAAACATAAAAATTAGTTTTTTACATCATTAAAGTACCATTTCTGACATGTGAGATTGCGTACTGTATACATTGCGGGCAGTTCCATATGAATGGCTAATCACCACTAAAATGATTAGTTTGCATTTCAGTCAATCCGCTTCTTTAAACTACGACACAAGTATTTTTCATTTAAAGGGGCAGTATTCTGTATTTTTCAGCCACATAGCACCATTTTATAGTATAATCAAGTAATTATGTTAGCTGCAGTTACTATAAATGTGCTTTATATATTATTCGCAACTTAAAGGAAATTTGATTTCACAATTTTAGCATCTCGAAATTGGGCCTCCGCCTCTTTAAGAAGCTGATTTTCTGTCACACTCCGCCTTCAGCACGTCATCACAACAATGTTTCTCCATTAAGCCTTTAACGTTTTTCTTAGGAGCCTTGACCTGAGGAGTGGTTTGTATGATGAGCTCCGCAGGTCGTCAGGTGTTTGCTAATTGCTGCTGGCGATAGTTTGAAGGAGCTGAGTGGGGAAGGTGACGGGGTGGGGTGATCCATAACCCCTCCCTGTTTTCATGAGGAAACTGGAGGAGCTTTGTGGAAATACAAGTTGCTTTGTGAGAACATGCACTTAGGGACCCCTGAATGGTTGCCACAAGAGATTCAAGGACTTCTCTAATGTGTGTGAAAGAACTAAGGCAACACTCCAGGTATGTTTGTAATGAGGGGATTAACATTATAACATGATGTGAAGCTCAAAACTTAAACCGATACCTGTTTTTCTGTGAGAAAGGCTGCTGCCTCATGGCCATGTGCTGCTGCTCATCCATGAGTCTGAGCAGAGGGGAGCCAGATTTGATCCTCAGGCCATAGTAGTGGTACTTGGAGTTTCCTCTGCAGAGGACGCAAAGAGAAGAAGTGATGCCTTCGCCCCGGACGCCGCTCCTACGTAATTCGGGTAAATGCGTCTACCTGGTGCCCAGTCTTCGCGTGCGGAGCCCCATGAAGACGGACCTGATGAGTTTACCAAAGGACGCAGCGTTAACTGGCTCTAGTTTCTGCTCCTGGCAGTGCAGGATGTAGTGGTAGTAGAGGGTGCAGCGGGGCAAGCTGACCCCTTCGGCCCCCTCGTAGTTTTCCATCAACCACTGGACCTGAGGGGAGGAAGGGAAGAGAGGGAGGACACCACGTACATGAATGGACTGGACTTCCTGGTGCTGCATCTCTTTGGATCTCATGCACTCACAGTAGCGGGAGGGGCGCGAGAGTTGGGGCTAGAGTAACTCTGTCCTCCCCCTCCCCCACCTGCTGCTGCGCCACCTCCTCCCAACAGATAGCTGCCCTGGATGACGTATCCAGCCGCTCCCGCAGCGCCAGCCCCACTGTTGGCTCCTGCCGTTGCCACGGAAACCGCCTGCGAAGTCACAGATCCGGGGAGGTCTGAGTCGGAGCTGGGCGTGGCTTCGTAGAAGGCGGAGGAGGACGCAGTAGGGGTCTGGGTGTAGAGGGGCGAGTCGGAGAAAGGGAAGCTGTTTGATCGACTGGAGAGGGGAGAAAAAAAAAAACAGATATCAACACCTGCAGACAGAACGTTTCCACCTGCGCGTCAAAAAGGATTATGAGGCGATGCCTACATTGCGGATGTGGTGAAAGCCGCATCTTCTGCTTCATCCACGTACTGCACCTGGTCCGAGTAAACGTGCTCCACCTGAACAATCAAAAAGAAGAGATTAGCATTAATGGTTTCCAGTCACATGGCAACAAAACTGGCACAAGTGGAGCTCCATTCTTCATCCATTGGGAGTAACATGATGCAGGCTTTGGGCGAGTTGTAGAATCTTTAGAACGTTCGTGAGGTCAGACACTGATGTTGGACAAGAAAGACAGGAGCTCAGTCTCTGCTCTAATTCATCTGCAATCTCCATTTTATCATGATTCCTGCATTTCTGTCATTTTCATACATTTCAGGGGAAGTCAAATACTTGTCAGTATATTTTCGTCCTTCAAAGTAAAGGGAGAATATTTGAGGATTTTGGTTTTTAGAATCGATGCTTTAGTTTTAATGTTAATTTAAAAAATAAAAAATAGCGCATCAAAACATTCAAAGCTCCAGTGTTCTCCATTTTCATTATATCATTATTTCCTTCGGCGTTACCATAAAATGACTACTTCCTTCTACTAATGTTGCCACTTTATTCTGGTAATATTATGAGCTTATCCTCAAATTGTTTGGACTTTTTTGTCGTAGTACTTTTTTGTCCCAATAATATGAGTTTACTCTCAAAATTAAACAATTCTTAGCCTGGTCCTGATCCTCGGTTGAAGCCAGCTCTCTGCTCCAAGGCAGTTTGAAGAGAAAGGGAGCATGGATGAGTGAAGGCATTGAGTATTTTTTTGTTTGTTTCGTTTATCAGACCAATAAAACTCATAATCAGGAAACCAGTCAGTGCCCTGTTAGCGGACCAAAAATATTTAGCAGAGCGTTAATTTAAATGACAACCAATAAACTCACACTTTGTTTGCATAATCACAGGATCATCAAAAAAAAACAAAAAAACAATTATACTAAAAACAAGCCATTTCCCAAAAACAAACAAAAAAACAACAACAACAAACAATCGATTAAGGTCCAAATTCTCACTTTGAACAAATCATTTTGACCTCCTTAACTTGAACTTTGAGCTTTCTCTTACAGAGTACAATGTTACATAATCCGCAGTAAAGCTATGTTACACATCTTATGTCTAATTACAAAGATCCAACCGAGATACATAATTTATGTGACAATCAGAGCCTACATGCATGGATCTTATCTAGTGTGTGTTATGCAGAGAGAGCGAGAGTCTGTTTACCTCCTGGTTAATAGACTGCAGGCTGCTGATGTGGCCTGTCTGAATCCTCTTGGTTGGCTGCGTCACTGCCTGCAACACTGACCTCTGTGGGAGAGGCAGTCCCAAACACGTCAGTTAAGGCAGGCCGCTGCACGGTCGTCTGGATGGCATTGTGCGTTTCTCACCTGTGGCGGAGTCTGCACGGCCTGGACCACCTGAGTGGGGATGCCAGGAGCAGGTGGGCTGGAGTCCGACAGGCTGTCGTTGGAGTGAGCCGATCCCTCTGAAAGACACGAGAGCGACGGAGGAGGGAGATTTTCACAAGGAGACAAAAAAAAAGAAGACAAAACAAAGAAAAGTCGCATAGACCCCCAACAGCAAGTTTGGTACTCACGAAAAACCGCCTCCAAGTCATAATAACAGCCGGCGCAGAACATATTGCTACTTAATTTCTTTTTTCGGCTCCACGGAGCAAACATGGAAGAGGGAAAGTGTGTCTGGCCATCTCTCCCCTTCTGTCCTTATATCTCGCATGCAAAAGGACAGCCTTGGACAGCTAATCTCCCCAGATGGAGAGAAAAATCCCTCCATCTTGTAAACATGCAGATCAGATGAGAGCAGGAAATGAGAGGTGCATGTGGGCCGATGGACGGGAGGAGGAAAACAAAGGATGGAGAGCAGGCAGTGGAGAGGGCAATCACTTCTTTGTAACCTTCAGGATTTAAATAAAAAACCCGGAGCAGAACCCTTCCTATCGTGTTGCTTTTGTTCTTCAAACTTTGGCTGAAAACAGCTGAGCTACTGAACCTCCGCCTATGTGTGGCACAGATAAATATTAAAATTGATCAACTATAGATCAATTCTCTCATTAGATGTGCCTAAAGTGGCTTTTTTGTAAAGCCAACAAAAAAAGAAAACAGAAATGGTGGAGACTTAATGATGAAACACAACAGGGTTAACGCAGATTCCAAATTTAAGGCTTTTCCAGACCTTTTAAAACCATTATCATTTAAGACATCCCCCACAACAGACATGTGCAAAAAAAATCAATCGCTTGAGCTGGCAACAGAAGTCAGCCTATGGATAAAAGATGAACATTGTCCGGACAACGGACGATAAATTTCCACTTACCCACAATGGACATTAAAAAAAAGGCTAACTAGCTTTATCCTTGCTAGCTTACTGGTAGACACAACCTCTTTGAGTCACAGAACACAGTGAAGATGTCTGCATGAAACTCAAACTTTTTCCTGACAAAAAAAAAAAGAGAGTCCTGTGAGAAAAATAAAAAAAGACTAATACACAAGATTCAATGATCTGACCACAACCAAATTGAAGACCTGTGATTAGGATCACAGGTCTTAATTTCAGATAAATTTTAAACTTTTTAAGGATGTAAAGACAATATCTTAATCCAGATAATTCTCACTATATATATATATATCCTAAAAGCTTATAGCAAAACAACAACAAATAAGCTGAATGGGGTTATTTTATGAGTTGGAACTGCTGATACGTATTCAGATTTCAGATTCAGAATTCTCGTCCAACTAGTTGCAACACATTTTGAAATGGGAACAAGGCCCGGGCCTGTGAGCTTTTAACTCTAGGTGAGAGTGCACAGTGTTACCTGATCCAATCAGGGAGAGCCATATGGAAATAGATAAGCCCTAAATTTAACATACAAGACACAGGATCAAGATATGGGAGGTCCATTTGTTTAAAAATGTTACACATGATAAAGAAAACCCACTGAGCTAGTAAATACTCATTAAAATTGATCAGATGTATGCCACGGTTTTAAAAACAGTTTGAAATCTTTTAATGAGATGCCAAAGAAAGTGAGAGCAAGCAAAGTTTTCAGCAGCTGTTTGGGAGCGTGACGAATCTCAGCACGGCCCCTCCCTCACCTGCTGTTACGCACTGGTACTCAGCTGGCTTAGAGAAAGATACCCCGACCCCCCTCCTTCCAGGGAAAACAAATCTAGCTGTTAGGTCTCAACTAAAAGCAAGTTAGATGATTATGTTATTATAATAGTATAATATGCAATAATACCTTAAAAAAATACTATTTGTTTCTATGGGACCATGACTTTTGAGAATACAGCTTGAAACCTTTGTGTGTTAAACAATCCAAGTGCACTAAGATATTTGTACTAGAAACCAAATATACTTGAAAAGATTTAGTGATTTTGCAGTGTATTGATATCCAACAGGAGAGCAGACTTGCATAGAGCTGCAACTTTATGACATTTTTAGTGTCCTTCACACACAGTAATGCGGCTTCTAAAATTCAAAACAGATGGAAACGATACGCTACGTATTTTACTCTTTCAAAAGGGCGTAGGCTCTGCTTCGTGAATCTGGTCTGGTCACTTCATGCAAAAACTAAACAACCACCAGGCTGAGTTTACCTGAGGGCCATAACAAATGAGGAGTAGATGTGCTAACTAATGTGATGTAACTATACGACGGTCTCTCACCTGTAACAGTCACTATGATGTACTGAGGCGAAGCGCTCTGGCCGTTACTCTTCTGGACAGCAGCGTGCTGGATAGCAGGGCCCACGTAGTGCTGCGTGGGCGTAGTTGGCACCACTGCCTTCTGGCTCTGGGTGGTTGGCGCTTGTGAACAAAGTGCATCCTGTCCCGCTTTGGAGGCCCTGGCCGCTTGGCTTCCAGAGGCTGCCGGGATCTCGGACAGGAAGTGTGCGGTTTTGGCAGATGAGGGCGTGGTGGTGGCAGGCGTCGCTATGGTTACTGCGCTGGCCTGCTGAGGCTGAAGGTCCTCAGAGTATCCACAAGTCGCCATGGCAACCAATTCGTGGAGGCACCAGTTCTGCGGATAAAAAGGAGGCAGCGCTCGTTAACTAAAGTGTCGGGAACAAACAATGAAACCCAAATTGCTTACTTATTATCGATACGTCACGTTTTACTCAAGCGGACCTTGTGTGCACTATTTTGTGTTTGTGTGGGGGGGTAGAGCGTGGTGTGTGCAGCAGAATAGGTCTAAAAACTTAGCAGTTTCCTTTTATTTTTTTAATCTAGTAAGGATGTTTTAATGATAAATAAGAAAATGACCTCTCTTTCTAACTGATGGGATGTAATTATACATGTCTATAATTTTATTATACGTCTTTCACACACAGGTGATTATATTTTATTGGCTACATTATATTATATTAAGTGATAACAAGTACATTTGTATGGTACATTTAAGCAACAAGGCAAATCAAAATGCTTCACACAATGAAAGCTGAAGACAGTAGCCAATTGTGAAGCAAGGAGGAACTATTACATTTTGTCAAATACTGTCGTCAAAATCATCTAGAAAATATCAATTAAGTATATTGATCAATGCTACTAATCAAAGGCAGCTCTAAACAGGTGAATTTTCAGCCTTGATTTAAAGAAACTCTGTTTCAGAATTTTTAAAACTTTTTTGGGGAAGTTTGTTTCAAGTTTGTGTAACCCTAATATGGGAAGCAATTTTACCACATAATATGTGGACAGAATCATCCAACCAGATATTTGTCAAATCAGTTCTTCATATTTAAAATTAATACTCATTTCAGTTGTACAAAATACTGTCACTTCAGTTATCTCAAATGTCATTCCTGCTACAATAAATGAGGTCACCGTTACAGCTCCTGATTATCTGCCAGAAAATCCATTATATGCTGAATTTTTTATTTATTTTAACTTTAAATAAGACCTCGCCGCAGCAGTGAAAGACATGAGAATAAACTATTATGAATAAATTAAATAGACTAGGTTTGTTATCACTTGTGCATCAAAAAGATGTTTTAGACATGGCAAAGTAATTTCTGGCTGCAGCACACATGGAGTCATTTAACCCTTTAGTATAAAAACCCAACAAGCAGTTATCCTGTTTCCATCTGGAGGTTGCTATGGCAATCAGGTTAGAGAGTATAGCTGCCTTGGATCAAGGCCAATGAAATAATAACTAAATCAATACACTGAAAATGCTTGGTAATTTGATTAAATACCATACAGACTTTACCGGACTGGAATAAATTATTCAGAATAATTTCCTAACGATTGTGATAAACTCTTATCAATTATACGTGGACATCTGCAACTTAAGATCCAATACAAATCACAAAAATAACACAAAAAAGAATTACCTATTTGATGGATGAAATGTTGATTGTCGAAAAGAGTTTAAATCTGATGTATTACTTTATTAAACGACAAAATGTGCAACTCACTGGCCAGTGCTGCCATCAAAGCATCGTTTTTTACACCCTCTGATGTTTCCTGTACATATTAAATCGTTTTTCCCCCCATTGAAATATTTCTAGCCGAAACCTTTAAGTAGACGTCTTTCATTTAATTCTGATAAGCAAAAAAAGTACTTATATTCCGACAAGGGGGAACAGCGTTATTTGCATTTAAAAGTAATTAGCAACCCCGGTGTGACTTCACGAAACGGCCTGCCATACCCTCCACTCCCCACGACTCGGCGGTCATGTGGCGAACCGTGCGCTCGGGAGTGACTTCAAGAATTCAATGTCACACCAAAAACTTTTCCCAAAGTCGTGAAAAGGTTGTTAAACATTCGCACCTCTCATTTTCAGGACGCGCACGGCCTAAAAACGTGCGAGTGTTTGACCCGCGTCGATGATTAATGCAGTTGGACAGCTGCTTGATAAGCGAGTTCAGCGCGAGGAAGTGATACGTAGCTTTCCTCGCTAGCAGCCTGCGTCGACTTGTGACGTTTAAGTGAGCTAGCTGCCCGCTAGCTTCCTATGTCTCAAGTAGATAACGACGCTACACAGTCACGCCTCGGCATAGTTTCGAGGAAACTGTCAAAAAAAACCACCCCAACACAAACATGAGGTCAGATAGAACTAAAAGAAAGTACGATTGGCACAAGGAGCCAGCCGCCATCTTGTGCTCTTATCAAAGATCTGACATCGCCATAACAACGGTCTGCGTTTGGAAAGAAGCTAGCAACCACTTTTCATCACACGACACGCTCGACGGATTCACGTTTCACCACAAAACGCTCCGGCACGCGCGTGCAATCAACATAAAAAACTACACGATCACTTCTGCGGTGTTTTCACCTGTATTTCCCGGCGTTGTCCTGAATAGTCGATAAAGTTTATTCCCTTTGATCCCGCTTGTTGTTGTTGACTTCGGTTGCTTGGCTCTTGTCGCCAGGACTACCGTGACTATGGCGCCTAGCCTTCACCGGGGCAACTGTTGCTACCCTCCGTACATTGTGCCGCCCCTTCTCAAATGCTGATTGGCTTTACGCGTGAGGCGGTTCTAACGTCAGCGCAGTATTCGCTTTCTGATTGGTGGATAGCTTCTGTCTGTAACTTTCACAGAGGCCTGGCATTGTCGCCACTTGTGGTGCTGTAAGTCTTTTGTAAATTGCACACTATTGCTTGATTATGTCTGAAATTATTTTTTTCTTGTCTGGTCATAATCTGTATTTACTCAGGGTTGGTATGAAGATTTTATTTAAAATAAATCCATCCACAAATGATCAAATGTTCAGTGTTTTGTGCACTTTGAAATCCAGCAGTAAAGTGGACAATTACTTGGTAAGTTGCAAAAGGCTGCAGAGGTACTCAATTCAGGAATCTCATGCTGTTTTAGTGGCTTCTAATCAACCAGTGCATGTTCTGGTCTTGAGAGACCACTTCCTGTTGCTGCTTGTGCTTTTTCCATTTGGGATTAGCTTCGATGCTGCTTTGTAAAATACATCAGAAAATAGGATCAGAGGTATGGAGCCTTGCTAACTTGCAGATAGCACAAAATTGTTAAATCAAAAATGATACATACATACATACAAGAAACACCCAATAAACATAAAAAAGGTGCATTGATTACAACTGATCAAACCAACTATTTGTCCTAATGGCGACGCCCATTCCTGCAGCTATTTCCTATATTTTTGAACAAAACAATAATAAGAATAGAGTATCTTGCGTGTGTCACCAGCCTATTGAATCGTGGGGAATTTTTAGGGTGAATGGATTGAAATCTCCATCCAAAGTGGAAGAGATATCGACGAGGAGACAATGCTGATGACATACGGCACAACCTGACTGATGTCGGGGACGAAAAGGCCAGCTGAAGGTCACAGGTGATTGGATTACCCAGAGTTCTGTTGACACCAGTTCTCGCATCATTCTTTTTCTGCCAGCACTGTTGCCCCTAAAGGTTACCAGTTTTATCTCTGAGGATGCTGATAAGTGGAAGTGAGGCACTGAAGCCTTTATAAAGTGATGAGACCATCCAAAAAGACAAAAAGAAAAATCCCAAACCACAGAGACATTCATTCTGTCACCATGTTAAAAGGAGCCCTGTTGACATTAGGCCTGTTCATGATATTTGTGCACCTTGCACAGTGTGCTGACAGTCATTCTTCACTTTATGGGGTGAAACTGTGTGGAAGAGAGTTCATACGAGCCGTCATTTTCACATGCGGTGGTTCTCGCTGGAGAAGAAGTGTGGAAGACTCAGGTAAGATAATGAAAATTCACTTTGAATTTATGGCTATTGTTCATCATTCAAATTCAGATCTTCTTTACTGTCCCAAAAAGGGAAAATTTATATTGACAATCATAGCAAAAAGAAACAAACTAAAAAAAAAAAAAAAAAAAAACAAGAAAGAAGAATAAATTTTAAAGAGAGATCAATTATTTCGCCAGAGATCAAAATTTACCAGTTGTTCTTGAATGGCTATATCTGGTGATCTACTGGTCAAATAATTAAAAATCTGATTATTTTTTTCCCCCTAATCATTAAACACATCAAAACTGATCATTTTTCTTCTGAAACCTCATCAAACAACAACCTGCAAGTGTTATGGGGATACAGCTTGATTCAATACATTAGGGTAATCTTGCATTTCTTTATTTTCAATTGGACTAAAAACTGCTACTTCAATCAAATTTGCAGCTCAAGCCTTAAATAAAACCTTGCCTCTGTACCATCCAGGATAAACATTATTGCACCACTCACAAAATTGGACAGACATTTTTGCTTAGTAAAAAATCGGAATGAAAGGCGGTTGTACAGAATGTCGCATTTGATTATATGACGCTTCTTCAGAATAAAACCACTGAAGCATTTTTTTTTTCACTTGAAATGTTTTCAGTTTGGGCAAAACAATATTTGATGGGGCATTTTTGTAGATTGCAGGAATGTTGTAGTTTTTCTGAATTGTGTTTTTGTTAGTCACTCTCTCGAGGAACCTAACATAATCAGCCATTTCCACAGCTAAAAATAAATGACTGATGTGGGAAGAAAATGAATGATATGTCCTTAATTAATCAGTAAACTGATAGTTTGCTATTTGTCTTTCTGAGTGAAACACTTGGTATGAAAAGAAACTAAATTTAACTGATTTGATTGGAAAGCATCCACATGAACTATTTAATTTAAACCAGTACAAGATGTTTTCATGTTATTCAGCTTTACATTTATGTTAGTCACTCAGACTGGAAATGCTTTAGGTCTCAACAAACATCTTGACTATTAAAAGAGTCTTGCAATGGCCTTTGCATGATCCACTATGACGTTCTTGATTTGTTTTAAGATGGTTTAAGTTCGCTTTAGTCTTGGATCCTCTTGGGAATGTTGTTGCCTTCAGCCACAGGACTAACTAACCTGGATTTAGAATAATTGTAAACACTAAGATGGTTATCTACTGCAGGTGAACTGCTTATAAAATTTTAATAGAGATGAAGGAAGTGGATGCTGCATCTTTCCACAAAGTCTGTTAGCCATCAGCCATTTGGCTGATGGCTAACTTCTCCATCCTGCAGCGGACGGACTCACTATTACTGTGCCATCAGCAAATTTCAGGAATTTCCTGAGTGTGGCAACTTTTGCTGTCATTAATATATAAAGACACACAAAAGCACAAAAAAAATAGCACTCTCCCTATAGAGACCCAGTGACTGACATAATCGTTTTTCATGTTTCCTCTGATGTCAAACCAGGATTTTGATACTTGTTCTCCTTTTAATCAGGCCTCATTGGAGAAGAAATCCTGGATCCGTGGCAGGCGAATCAAATCCCTCAGCTTTCTGTACAAGATCCTGCTAATTCCCAAGCACTGAAAGATCAAGTGATGAATGCTGTTGGGTTCAGCCGCTCAGCTCGCTCACCGCTCTCAGAGGAATTGCTGGAGGCCCTGCAGGGGGCAGGCAGGAAAGGACGGGAAGCAGAGTTTGGACTGTCCAACGCTTGCTGCAAGTGGGGATGCAGCAAGAGTGAGATCAGCTCTCTTTGCTGAAGATAATTTACCGCCCTTAACTGGCCGACATGCAGATTTTTTTGAAAGAAAAAGCCATGTTAAAACTAAAGATTTTCCATATGCTAATGGAAAAAAAATTTGTGTAACGGTCATATGCTGAAAATGTGTTTAATAAAGCTTTGAGTGATTGATCTGTTTCTTTATGCAATTGAAGATGTTTCCACTTGCACAAAATCTTGTTTCATAAATGGTGTCAAGGATTTCAAAATAAAGGAAGGAGTGATGACAACACAGAAAAGACGTAAAGGAGTTTCGAAAAGACACAATTTGTTATGAAATATCACTTTGTCCTTCGAACCACAACTCGGGTGCCTCTTATTATTGGAGATTTCTTAAGTGCTTCAATAAGCTCCTTGTGTTTTCCTACCTTTATTTTTAAACACGAGGACCTCCAGAAAGAAAAACATAAGAAACCATTCAACTGAGGTGAAGTATAAAGTGAAATCCTGCCTTTTATGCATAAACTTTTTGCATTTAGGGACAATTCTAGAGATTCCAGTATGCAAGTCAAGCAAAAGAGTTGTTCTAAATAAGCAAACAAAGAATCAAATATCATTAAAACAAAATATACATGTTTAAATACAAAGTGTGATTATTATTTGTGACTATATTTGTTATAAATGAATATTTGTCTACTTCAACCCCCTACTCGTTAATAAATCAGAATTGAACTACAGTCATCAGAACCTGGCGCCATCTAGTGGTCAAAAGTAAAGCTCAAAAGAAGTCATGTACAGTATTCACGAAATTAAACGCGCAGCGTATTTTTGTACCAAAAAGATGCATTTTAAAAACAGAACAGCCACACTTATAATCAGAAAAAGGCAGTTATTTTAAAACATGTCTTACTGCGTAACCGCCTGGTTCAGCTCTGTTGTCTACGGAAGCCGGCAGGAATCAAACAGGTCACCCGGCTTGATCGCAAGGCATGCAATCTCTGTCATACACAAGCTAGCGTAACAAATACACAGACCTAAGAGATTATAGCTTTTTTTTTACACAGCCACACAGATAGCTGCGATATTTTGTTTAATGTTCGTTTTTTACAGCGTGACTGCTCTCTTTTCCGTACAGATATAAAACCAGCGCACCGGAGTAACCAGGTAAAATCTTTCGCGCTACTTTCATACAGATGCTAGCTAGACGTGCTACATGTTCTAGCTTTGGGTTGATGTCCGGTTGTTTAGTAGCATGCATATGAACGTCTTTCTGTAATTGGTGTTAATTACACGTTCGGATGTAAAGTACAGTGACCGGGAATCTGTGTAATTTACGCCGTATAGCCGTTCAAAACCAGTTAATACGCATTTTAACCCATGTTGACGTTAAGCTAGCTTGCTAGCCGTCTCAAAGACACTGCGCCGTCTGGGCCTCATGAAGAAAACACTCCTCACCTCTTAAGTTTATAACTTATCATAACTTACCGAAGCTAATTCACCATAGTTCAGCTCTCGCTTTTATTATTGTTGGGATTCATGCCTCAGAAAACAGGAAATGCTCCTAGCCACTCATGCTATCGAACCGGGTTCTCGGTAGCATTTTCAGCCTTTTTCATTTTCTGAGGATTTCAAAACCCAGTTTCAGTTTGAGGCAGGTCACATAACGGATGGTCAACTATCTTTAGCGAATGGCGTGCTTGTTTTCTACGCATAGGCGTGTGTGAGAGCACTGAGAGGCGTTGTTGTCGTGCCTTCCAGACAGCTCATCAATGTGTTGTCTTCACAGGATGGAGTGGCAGCCAGACGAACAGGGTCTGCAGCAAGTGCTTCAGCTGCTCAAAGATTCCCAGTCCCCAGACACAGCCACTCAGAGAGCTGTGCAAGAAGTATCCTTAGCTCTCGGTGTGTGTGGACATTTAACCATGTCCAAGTGGATGCCTGGTGGAAAGCTGCTTTGCGGCGTTGCAAAATGTTTGGTGCAAACCCGAGCTGGACCTTTTCAGAGTGGGGTTTGCATGTTCTGTGTGCAAGCACTCCGGTGTCTTCCAAAAGCACAGGATTTCTGTGTAAGCTGGGAAAGTATTGAATTTGATTCAAGTATTTTCCAGGTCTGGATTAATATGACTGTGCAGTCAGATATATTTTATTATATGTACATTTATTAAATTGCATTTTGTTATGGCTAAAATGACTGAAATCTCTAGAAGTTGGAGTCTGGAAAAGTCTAGAATGTCAAATGTGCCAAGTGTAAAAATAGGTAACACATGTTAAGTGTGTGTACATGATTATTTGCCCTATGCCTCTTTCATGGAGCTCAGTAATTTGCCTCAGCACCACTCTTGAGCAAGATTTATCAAACATAGAAGATGCATAAATGCTAAACAAGAGGCCTAAGGGTGCATTCACACCAACTCTGTAAGTCTGCTTTCATCTCATTTAAATTTATCTAGAAAGTCTGATTTGTTTGGGGAAGTGTGAATATAGAATCGTACTCTGATGCAGACCAAAAGGGCAAACTCTGGTCTGCCAAAAAACCTAGATCTCAGCTTGGGTGAATTAAACTCTGGTGCTGTTTTAATTCATATGAATGCCAAGCAAACCAGATACTTCTACAAAAGCAAGAAATTACTGCACAAGCAATTGGTAAATATACCAAAACACATGCAAGACTCCTATGCCATAGGTAGAAATGGTTTATGGTCTTTTACCAAGACAAAAGAGAAATCCTACGACCATTAAAATCTGACACTACTCTGTTTTTGATTGCATTTCATGAATTAAGAAGTTGTGCTTATGACTTCTTCAGAAGTTTTTGTGTCGTTTCCATTAGTGGTTCTTGGTGCAGCACCACCAGAGGCGAGGGAGGGAACAGGTTTTTCAAAGGGTTTGGTTTGTTTGACAGTGCAGTATAAAAGCAAACCGCACCAGCTGAAAATGTAACAAATGTTGCCACTTTGATCCTCAATCGAACAGCGTTTACTGGACAATGTGAAACCACCCTTCGTTAGATGAGGGTGTGAGGATGTTTGTGCCAAGTGTGGATGGTTGAACTCCTTAACCGACGCCCCAGAAACTGGAGCAGCTTAACCAGTTCCCTGACTTCAACAACTATCTTATATTTGTCCTCACAAGCCTCAAGTCTGAGGGTAAGATTGAGTAAAAAAAAAATGCATTTCATCGTCAATATTGATGATCTTTCTTTTCAGCTGTGCTAGCAACATGCTAATATTTTAGTCCTGCATCTAACATCCTGCTTCTCACATGGTAAAATGCTGTTTCCTTCTCTGTCTCTGAAGACGAACCCACTCGCTCTCTCAGTGGTTTGATTTTGAAGAACAACGTGAAGGCTCACTATCAGAACTTCCCCCCTAACGTGGCTGACTTCATCAAACGAGAATGCCTCAACAACATCGGAGATCCGTCGCCGCTTATCAGAGCTACGATCGGTGAGGGTGTGGCAGAACAGGGAGTGTGGGAGGGGTGGGACAAAAGAAAAAGAAGAAGCGTTACCCTGTAGTGATTGTGAGTCAGTCTGCCATGTGGTAGGCTGACTTGTTAGTCAGAAAAGTTGCTGTGTGGGTGCTCGAAGCGATGTTTTGCAGATGTTTATCGCTGTGGAAGGCTATGTTGTGTTAAATAGGGTAATGCAGAACTTTCAGCTGCAGGTTTATTTAATATTTTTTGTCTTTGTCGTGAAGGGATTTTGATCACAACTATAGCCTCTAAAGGAGAGCTGCAGACTTGGCCGGAGCTCTTGCCTCAACTTTGCAATCTGCTCAACTCTGAGGACTACAACACCTGCGAGGTACAGCCTCTGCACGACTTACTCGATTTCTAATTGTTCATTTGATTTGATCGCTCTGATTCCCCCTTTCTTTCAGGGTTCTTTTGGAGCACTGCAGAAAATCTGTGAGGATTCGTCTGAGCTGTTGGACAGCGACGCTCTGAACAGACCTCTCAACATCATGATCCCCAAGTTTCTCCAGTTTTTTAAACACTGCAGCCCCAAGATCAGGTCGGTAAACAAATGTTTTTTCTGTCATGTCCCTTCTCCTTTATTCAGTCTAATTTAAGTACGCTCTTGGTTTGGTTTTCCTTTAGGTCTCATGCTATCGCTTGTGTGAACCAGTTCATCATTGGACGAGCTCAAGCTCTGATGGATAATATCGATACTTTCATTGAGGTGAGGGATAAAAAGATTTACTCTGGCTTGTTCTGCAGAGTAGAGCATTTCAGCTCTGGGTCATTCTGATGGTGGAGGGCCAGAGAGCTGCCAGTTTAAAATCTTTCGGTCTGTGGAGACAGCCTATGTAGAGGCCTGAGATGAACTTGGTGTTGTACTGAAGAGTTAATTAAACTTTTGGGATGAGATTTTTGGAGGACCCAATACTGGTGTAATACACTCAGTTTCTCATTTATTGAATGGTTTCAGAAAACGAAAGCGGCGAAAGAGTTGCTGCTGTCTGTCTGTATGTACAGAAAAAACATTTTATGTATTCTAGATTTGGAGAAGGAACAAATCTTAAGATAGCAAAGAGGCTAAGCAGGAGATATTTTTAATTCTATTATGCTGCTGAATTAAAAACACGACTTCAGGCTTGTTTCAAGATGTCTAGAGAATGCTGTTAAGAAAACCCAACGTGGTAAATATTTTCTGTTCAAATATCCAGAATGTTACTTAAAAAAACCACAATTACCTTGACTAATGTGGTGGAACGCAGCAGTACCAAATTACCCCAAACCTTATTTTACCTTCTTGTTCTCCAGCGCCTCCTTCATTTAATCCGTTCATCCTTCTTCTTGTCTCCTTTTGAAGAGTCTGTTTGCCCTGGCCGGCGACGAAGACAGTGAAGTGAGGAAGAACGTCTGCAGGGCTCTGGTTATGCTGCTGGAAGTTCGCATCGACCGCCTCATTCCACACATGCACAGCATCATCCAGGTGAGGCGACCGCTGGACATTCTGTCACCGCCACCATCGTAGATACGGTCCTCCTCCTCTTCCTCACCACCAGCTGTTGTGTTTCTGTCTGCAGTACATGCTGCAGCGAACGCAGGACCCCGATGAGAACGTGGCTCTGGAAGCCTGCGAGTTCTGGCTCACTCTGGCTGAGCAGCCCATCTGTAAAGAGGCCCTGTCTGGACACTTGGTCCAGTAAGTCAAGATATGCTGACAGATGGATTGAGGTAATGAAGGAGGAGCTCACCTGATTTAAATCTTTTTTTTTATTTTTTAAAGACTGATTCCCATCTTAGTGAACGGGATGAAATACTCAGAGATCGACATCATCCTCCTAAAAGTAAGCAGCTGTCATTAAATTAAATGCTTCTTCCACACAAACTCGGCCCTTATAAGAATCTTGTTTACTTCAAACTTAATCTTAATCGTCCTCCAGGGAGACGTCGAAGAGGACGAGACGATTCCCGATAGCGAGCAGGACATCAAGCCTCGCTTCCACAAGTCTCGCACCGTGACTCTGCAACACGAGGGCGGGGAGGGCGAGGAGGGCGAGGACATAGACGAAGACGAGGACGACGACGACGACACGTTGTCTGACTGGAATCTTCGTAAGCTGCTGAAATGCATTTAGACATTTAGGGTGCATTCATACCAGCTTTATTTTGTCTTACTTGGTTCATTTGGGGAGGTGTGAACGTGCAGTCAAACTCTGATGCGCACCATAGAAGCGAGGTCTGGTCCGCCTAAAAACCTAGATCTCAGTTCAGTTGAATTCTGGTGCGGATCAAATGCATATTAATGCCAAGCGGACCAGAGTTTCCTCCAAAAGCAAGAAGCAGGCTGTCGCGCAGGACATTCTGGATAAAGGCATCAAGATCAAACTCATAAATCTATTGCTTGCGGGAGAAATGGCTTGTGGTTCTTTTTACTAAAGACAAAAAAAGAAAGAAAAAAAAACCTACAGTTGCAAAAATCTGGCATGTTCGTTTACATTTTGATGCATCTTTGGAGGTTTTTGTGTCGTTTCCTTCAGTGGTTCTCGTTGCAGCGGCACCACAGGCGAGAAGGGGAGCAGGTTTTCAAAGAGTTTGATTTGTTTGGCAGTGCAGTGTGAAAGCTATCTATAGTCTATAGATCTATGGTCCGGAAAATACGATAGGTTTGAATGACAAATTCCTTGATTTTCTCATTAGAAGCCCAAATTCTGTTAGACATTACCATTCATTTTATTGGGCTTTATGGTGTAGATCAACAAAACGTGGTGAATAACAGTGAAGTGGACAGCAGAAGTTTTTCTCCCATCGGTGCGTCTCTAATCTCGTCTGTCGGTCTCTGACTCTCAGGAAAATGCTCGGCTGCGGCTCTGGACGTTCTGGCCAACGTGTTTCGTGAGGAGCTGCTTCCACATCTGCTGCCTCTCCTCAAAGGCCTGCTGTTCCATCCTGACTGGGTCATCAAGGAGTCTGGCATCTTGGTGCTTGGCGCCATCGCTGAGGGTCAGACATAGACTCAAAAATTACGTTAAATTATACTTTTTAATATAAAACAGGGAAGAAATGTAAGCTCTCGTCCTCTTTTCAGGCTGCATGCAGGGAATGGTTCCCTACTTGCCAGAGCTGATTCCTCATCTCATCCAGTGCTTATGTGACAAGAAGGCTCTGGTGCGCTCCATCGCCTGCTGGACCCTGAGTCGCTACGCCCACTGGGTGGTCAGCCAGCCTCCCGACGCCCACCTCAAGCCCCTCATGACCGAGCTTCTCAAACGCATCCTGGATGGAAACAAAAGGGTGCAGGAAGCGGCGTGCAGGTGTAGCTCTCATCTCTCCTCTGTGCTCTTCTTTTGCTGCTCAGACTTCTTTCTCACTCATACCTTGTTGGCCGCAGCGCCTTCGCCACCCTGGAGGAGGAGGCGTGCACCGAGCTGGTGCCGTACCTCAGCTTCATCCTGGACACGCTGGTTTTCGCTTTCGGGAAATATCAGCACAAGAATCTGCTGATCCTCTACGACGCTATAGGAACGCTGGCTGATTCTGTGGGACACCACCTCAACCAGCCTGTGAGTTCAGCAGCCACACACACATTCACACACATTGACATTCACCTGGACAGCTTGGAACTGAAACGTTTGCTTTTCGGGGTTTTTTTTAAAGGAGTACATCCAAAAGCTGATGCCGCCTCTTATAGCCAAATGGAATGAGCTGAAGGACGAGGACAAAGACCTGTTTCCTCTGCTGGAGTGTCTGTCGTCGGTGGCCACGGCGCTGCAGAGCGGCTTCCTCCCGTACTGCGAACCTGTGTATCAGCGCTGCGTGACCCTGGTCCAGAAGACGCTGGCTCAGGCCATGGTGAGCTGCGTTTTATCTTAACACGCTGATTTTCATAGTCAGGGTTCGGACGGGTGCTTGAATTTAAATTAGGTTTGGAACGTGCTGGAAATACTTGATATTCAAACTGCAGTTAAGTTATTAAGTCCATAATAGAGGATAGTAGCTGCCATTTTTGTTTCATTTCTGTTGTTTTTATCTGCTGGAAAAGTTTGGGAACTTGCCTTGAAATTGCTTGAAGTTTACTGGGTTAAAGTGTGTGAAGCATGTAAAGCTGTATGGACTGAGAACCACTGTGTTGGTGTTTCTCAGATGTACAGTCAGCAGCCAGACCAGTATGAAGCACCAGATAAGGACTTCATGATTGTGGCCCTGGATCTATTAAGCGGGTTGGCCGAGGGACTCGGGGGCCACGTCGACACGCTGGTGGCCCGCAGCAACATCATGACCCTGTTGTTCCAGTGCATGCAGGTGAGAGCACTTCAGTGGATTTCACCACCTTCACGTCCCGTCTAGTCAGATTTTTTATGTTGGTCTTTGTTTTTGTGTCAGGATACGATGCCTGAAGTGAGGCAGAGTTCATTTGCTCTGCTGGGTGACCTGACCAAGGCCTGCTTCCCTCACGTCAAACCGTGTATCGGTAATTATTCCTTTCTCTTCCTCCCGAGAACTAAACTCAGCTTATTAAAGGCGCTTGAGAAATGCCCAGCACAGTGGAGAAATGCTTTTTTTGTGTGCGAAACGTGACTATAAAAAGTTAGGAAAAAAATCTGGATGATTATTTTTTTAATTACATTTTTGTCCTTTAGCTGAATTTATGCCGATCCTCGGGACAAATCTGAACCCAGAATTCATCTCGGTGTGCAACAACGCCACCTGGGCCATCGGGGATCTGCATGGGAGATGTGCGACCTCTGCTTCGACATCTGATGCTGGTTAAACTTCAGACATTGTGCGTCTGACCTTGTTCTTTCTTCTCCCGTCAGGAGTGGAGATGCAGCCATACATAGCTATGGTTCTAAACCAGCTGGTCGAGATCATTAACCGACCCAACACACCCAAAACCCTGCTGGAAAACACAGGTAGCTAGACGTTTGCGCCTCATGTACTGCTCACGGCGGATACCCTTGTGACTTGCTTAATGCTATCTATGCTCGTGCTGCAGCCATCACCATCGGGAGACTGGGTTACGTTTGCCCTCAGGAGGTCGCCCCCATGCTGCCGCAGTTCATCCGACCCTGGTGGGGACTCCTCGCCTTTTCACGCAAATCGCAGCTGTGAGAAAACCGTAGAGATCTGCTGCTCATTGCTTTCTTGTTGACGTCCTCCAGGTGCACGTCTCTCCGCAACATCCGAGACAACGAGGAGAAAGACTCTGCCTTTCGTGGGATTTGCATAATGATCGGCGTGAATCCCGGAGGCGTGGTGCAGGTGAGGCGTCGTGCGCTGCAGCTGTACGCCCAGTTACCGTCTGTTGAATTTCACCTGCTGTACCTTTTTCTGATGCTCAGGATTTCATCTTCTTCTGTGACGCCGTGGCCTCCTGGGTGAACCCTAAGGATGATCTGAGAGACATGTTCTACAAGGTATGTAGCAGGATGACCCAGGCAAGATTCAACATCTTATGTCGCATTTTGTCTTGTGAAACGCGACAAATTTATTGCCAGTTTGCTGGACGAAGTTGATCTTTGCCTGTACAATGCTACGGTCATTCTGTGCAGCAAAGCTTCGTGCTACTACGCTTTAAAATATGCAATTTCATACATTTCCGTCATGATTAGGTCTTAAACTTAATTCATAATCGTCTGAAACCTGCAGTAATGCTGTTAATTGATGAGTTGCTTGTTGCTGTGAGTTTATACATAACGTCAACATAAGTGGAACATGACAGCGTTTCCCATGTACCCTCGACATAAGTTATGTGTACTACATTTTTACTTTTAATAATCCTAATTTAAATCTCTACTATGTCCCAAATATGCTCTCTTTGCTCACACACGTTGGATTTGCTGACGGGGTGTGTCGGTCTGCACAGATCCTCCACGGTTTCAAGGAGCAGGTCGGGGAGGAGAACTGGCAGCAGTTTTCAGAGCAGTTCCCCCCACTGCTAAAGGAGAGATTGGCAGCCTGCTACGGCGTTTAGGTTCTCCACACCCACCCAATAGGTAAGTCTCCACACACTGGGTTAACGAAAAAGAAAAATCGCATTGTTGCTCCATTCACATCTTCGTGTTGGTCTGTGTTTTTTCTCTTCAGGTGAGCCAGCAGGAGGAGGGTGAATGGGAAACTCATCCATCTGTGTATTGCACGGCCCTGATCTGGGGGGAGGGAGAAGGGACGCTTTTGGCCGCTCCCCCTGATGGACGGCCCCCACGCCCTATGTGTTTGTCCATAGAGGGAGGGTGCGCGGGTGGGAGGGAGGGACAGGGGGGACACCTCTAGATTAACTAGGCAGGGACCTGACACAGAAAAAAAACAAAAAAAAAAACAACTAACTGGTAGGGACAGATAGAGGAGGAGGACACCAGCTGGAAAAGAGAGCAGCACAAGGAAAAGTTCAGGGACAGACAGGGAGGGGACTCACTAACGAGGCAGGGACAGCAGGAGGCTTGTTTCCTGGCTGGAACGACAGGGAAAGGTAGGATTTTAATGGGATTCTTAAACTTAAACGAGTAGCTGGTTGCTCAACAGACTCAGACATTAAGTTGCACATGCAGTACCTGGGACAGACTGTGGGTGGCACTGTGGTTTAGACTTTTTTACAGACCTACTACACGTAGCTAGGGACAGACAGGTAAAAAAAAAAAAAAACCTCTCTATTAACTTCATTTTTCTGGGGGAATAGGATTCGATATCAAATACTCCATCTGTGCTCCACCCGATTCTGCTTCTCTGTAAGATGATCTATCCTCATCCATGTTTCCCACCTTTCATTCTTACCAGAGTGCTGCTTTACAGAGCTATCATCCATCACACGTATTGCTGTCCACTTGTCTTTTTTCTACCTGATCGAACAAGACAGACAGAGAGAGAGAGAGAGTGCGGGGAAGCCTTTTCCCACCGAAAACAAACCATTCCTCTGGGAAGGGGGGCTTAGGGCTAACAGTTCCATTTTCTCACCTGAGCGGGAGGAAATCGTACAAAGAAAATGCATCCTTAGTTTTGTCTCCAAGGTTCGGCTCGACGCGTGCATGTTGCAAGTTTGTAAATCCTGATTTCGGCATTCTTTAACGGTGTGTGAAATGTGTATTTTTTTATTTTTTGTATTTGTTTTTGGACATGGTACCGAGCTAAAACTTGACTCCCCACCGCAATGTCCTTGGCACCTGTTGACTGTGACCAAGTGTTTGTGTGTGTTTGTGTGCGTGCGCGCGCATGTGACTGAGTGTGTGTGTATGCGTCTGTCTACATTCGTGTTGATATCCATTTGATGCCATATTGATATCTTTAGTAAAACTGATTGGTTGTGATCTTTATAATGTTTTATAATTGGTCTTTTTGTTTTCTTTTTTTCTTTTTTTTTTGCTGCTACTGATGAGTTTTGTTTCTGTAGTGAACTGAAATTCACACACTTAACACAAAAATTGAATTGATGCTATATTCAGTGACTGTTAAGTTGTTTTTTTGCACTTTTTATTTTATTCAGTTTTTTATTTTATTATTTGTATGGTATATTTTTTTTAAGAACTTCACCCATATGATATGTCTTGACCCTAATGTCAGTGTTTGTCATACTGTGTTGCACTGTGAAATTAAGTGTCTTTGACTGGCAAAAATATCTCAATACTAAATGGCAAATAAAAGCAAGTTTGTGAAACTGCGACTAATCCGCACTTTTACAATTACTAACCTTGCCATAATGCCGTGTGTCTGTGTGTGTGTGTGTGAGAGAGAGAGATCCTGCATGAGAGAGAGCATGAGGAGATTCAGTATTTGCCAATAAGCATGTTTGATGGAAGAGTGTGTGGTAAGGTCAAAAGAAGAGATGTAGCCTGTCTTAGCATAGTTTGTATGCATGCTCTGTCTTTCCACAGTAAAGATGTGCAGTGCCTTGCAAAAGTATTTACACCTCTTCAATCTTTATACATGTTGTCTGCAAACTACAGACTTTAGTGTATTTTATCAGACCTTTACGAGAGCCCAACCCAAAGGAGCATATAATAATAAAAACATTTCGGTCTTTTCTGCTCTGTAAAGTGGATCAGTAGCAACAACCACAACTACTACTACCCAACTGGGAAATGAAATTCGAGTTGGGTCAAGGTCGGGACCTTCAGCACTTCTCCTACGCTTTGCTTCATCCAGAGGGTCTTGACTTTTGAGAAGCAATTGCTTCTCGGAGGCGTAGAGTTTGTTCACGTCTTAAAGGTTGCCCAGTCGCTAACGGTTGTCCATAACGTAGCCGTCCTCCACTGCAAAGAGAGAAGTGCCAAGCTGAACGAGGCAGCTGTCAACGTTAATTCAGTACTTGGACGTGTGACCGAACGGCTTCGTTCACCTCCTCTATTCTAAAACTGCAGAAAATTGACATCATTCTCAACTTCTCCTTCTGTTCGCTGATTGGCCTGGTCAAAAATCTATTGGGGAGAATCCCCTTCAATGGGAGAAAGCCCAGAATGAGCAGTGAAGAGAGATCAGAATTTAGAAGCCAGTGGCTGGGCTAGCTTGGAACTTTGACTGGGCCATATTTTGAGTTTTTGTAGCCTCAAACTGGTTTTCTTCCAGTATCACCTCAGCATCATACTGAATTGTAGATCTCTGTGACTTATCCGGAGTCTCCATGAGCTTCTTGTAAGATTTTCCAGTGACATCGTGTCTATTATGTTGAGTGTCAACTTATATGGATGACCCTTTTGGGATTGAGTAAACAAAGCTCTGTGGGACATTCACAGCTCAACACCTTGTGTTACAACATGTGACTGTTGTCTGCTGAGATCATAATACAAACTACTCACTTCAATGCTTTTGAGAACAGTTGTAAACAGCATATGGCGGCATTGTTGTAATAACATGCTGAAAATGGAGAGTTGGAAAAAAGTAGTAGCTTCTTAAAGAGACAGAGGCCAATTTCAAAGTAGTTTGCGAAGTCAGATTTCTTTGATGTCATGTTTGACATGTGCAGCATTTTTATAACATCTGAAGCTAACAGTCACTTGATTGTGCTACAAAATAATATACTTCCTCTATAAACTTCTCCTGAACTTTTCTCCCTGTCCCGTCTGTTCCACATCCATAGATGCGCACCACACTTTTCAGATACTCAGTTTTAAAAATTTAAAGCCAATGCCTCAATCCCTTTTCACCTCACAATCACACACTACCTTGTGTCAACTCATCTAATGCCATTCCAATAAATAGGTGTGTCAATACCTGTAAGAGGACGAAATGTGGAAAAGCTCAACAGGTATGAATCCTTTAGCAACGCACTGTACGGGTGTGTGTGCAGTAGTGCATGTTTGGTGTATGTTTCAGAGTATTATGACTGCCCTTTACACACCAACACACCACCTCGGCTCACAAGCAGAAAGGGACGGTACATTTAGAAACAAAGCTAGGACACTGCCAAAGAGCAACAGCCACTAAATTAGAAGGTTGGATTAGAAGCAGAGGCCACCTGGAGCGTGATGCGGACACACAGGTACAGCCGGACTGTAGGGATGATCTCTGATCACGATTCTGCCAGCAAAATTCAACACAGGGAAGCGCGTTAATTTTTTTAAATGTTTATTGTTATTATTATTTTCTGGCTCATAGATATTTAGATGCAGACAAATGATTTGACCTAGACTGTGACCATTAAGATAATTGAACCAATCATCTGTCACTTAAAACGGGAGACAATCTGAGTCTGTTTCCTTTCTCTCAGTTCAGATTGTGAGCAATGTTTTTTTTTAATATATAATAAATGTCTCAACGGCTCAGTATTTTAAAGTGATTTCATGTGCTTCTCTGATGTTTTCTAGTTCCATGAGATTTTTGTGTCGTGAACTTTTTAATGATACTGTAGAAATCTGGTTACGGACCAGTGACGAATACAAGTAGGGAGAGGAGACATGTTTTGTTATTTTCGTTTTTTAATTTATGTTAATGTAATAAGAAGCATGATACTGGGTAAGATTTAAACTTTTAACATGAAACATCAGCCTGATTTATAATAAAGCAAAAAGACTTTGGTACCTGCCTTTAATCTGTTTCCCTCCATTTATTATAATTTGGGAGTAGAAATGAAATAGTTTTGAGGTGATTTTAATCCCTTTATGGTTTGTGTGTAAAACTGACTGAAAATCCAGCTGGATTGTGGATTACCTGAAATAAATGTTCTTGTCATGCATGCTGAGAAATGGCTAATATAATTTTTGGTGCTTCTTATTTTTTTACGTTAATGTTTTTGTTTTTTTACTATTCTGTTTCAAGTAAATAACACAGTTCCTGATATATGAACTCTCAAATTAAAAATCAATGTAAAATGGAGAGTGCAATGTGGGCGCTTTTTCTGACGATCACCTTCAGTGTTCAGGCACACAGGTGCGATTTTTATTATTCTTTTTCAAAATTTGGGTCTCAAAGTTAAAGTTTGCTACATATTTTCTTGAATTCGAACATGTTTAAATTTAAGCACCCAAGAATAACAATATTTGGAGAAACCCCACTTAGCTTTGGTTAGACCAAAAACTATATGCTAAATCTTCTCATCTCTTACAAAAGAAAAACAAGACAATGCATGTTTGGACTATTTTAGTATCGGGACGCTCAGTTGTGTCAAATTTCACCCATCCAACTAACAATGTGTTGAAATTAAAGATGGCTGAATGGTGGCTGATTATTCCAGCCATTTTTGTTCAGTGCACCAGCACCCCTGGAAGCCAAATGGCCCCAAAGCATGATGCGTCCACCACCTTGCTTTACAGTTGAAACAGCTTGGAGGTTTTACCTTAATTCCACCAAACACTCAGCTTGTCATTTTATTCCAAAAGCCAAATCCTTGGCAATTAAACCTCTGGCTTATTAAAATGATCTCAGTCCCATAGAAAAGCTGTGGTCAGAGCTGGGAAGCCCCCAACAAACCTGGCTCAGTTTCACCAGTTCTGGAAGGACTGAGTGAGTCAAATTTCCACCGAAACGTTGTGAGAAGCTTCTGGAAGAGGAGCACGGCTCATGTCATGCTGCTTCAAGGCAGTGCAGCAAAAATACTCAAGAATTGTGTGCAAACCCGAATAAAAGATTTTAAAAATTATTTTTGTTGTGTTGCCATTAATCAAATAATGTTGTTAATCCTAACTTATGTGAAACAGGAAAAGTTACTTTGGATTTAAATGTCAGGTCAGACCGTTACTGCCTCATTTGAAAGCAACACTAACAATTTAGCCAATAAAATCTTAAAAAACAAAACCAAAATATAACACATCGACTGTGACGCCATCTAATCTGTGAGTAAACAACCACAGATGTCGAATATGGACACAATGTCACAAGAAGATCCTCTTGTTGTCTGCAGCTTGATGAAAGTTTTATTTCACCCAGAAGCTTAGGGTGGAGTTTGGGTCGAGCCGGGCGAGGAAAGTCCCTGCATTCTTCCATTTCTGCGCTGCTATTTGTCATTTTGAAGCACTGTTGCAGAGAGTTAGTCTGTGCTGCAAATCTGCACCCTGCAGAGGCTGAGAGAAAGCTTCATGTTTTGAAAGACAAATGAAGCTGCACAAGCAAACAATCCAAATCTGACCTGGGCCTTTTCGTAGTACTTTACCTCCTCAGCTTAGAAGCTCGTCCGGATGGTCAGATTGTGTGTCCTTTCATTTAAAATGTAGACAAAGTTATTTCCTGTATTTCGAAAACAAGCTATTTTGTTTTGCTTTTATAGCTTTAGACAAAAATGTGCTTTTCTGGACTGAGGAGATAGAACAAAACTCCATAGGGTTATGAAAGTTGCTGACAAGAAGACGTAGGAAATGACCAGGTATCAGAAATCGAACTTGGGTCGCCCCACATCCTCGATGTGTCTGTGGTGCCCCTGGTGCACCACACACACACACACACACACACACACACACACACACACCCACACACACACACACACACACACACACACACACACACACACCACACACACACACACACACACACACACACACACACACACACGCACACCTGAGGACAATTTAGAGACTGATGGTTCTGTCATGTTTTTCACACGTGGGAGGAAGCTGCAGCACCCATTCCGGCTTCATTTGCATATTTTCTGAACATTTAAGTCCAACGCTTGAGATTCAAAATGTAAATTTAACATTTAGGATTTAGATAAGAATTCGGCATTTAAATTTCACATTTGCATGTAGATGTGTTTGCTTAAATTTGATTTAACGTGTTTCTTCTATATGACTATGCTTCATGTTTTTTTATGGGTCATTCATCTTTTCAATCATCCGGTGTTTTTTTTTTTTATATATCTCTGTTCCTTTGTTTTTCCAGTATTAATGGTGCTATGCAAAAAAAAAAAAAAAAAAAAAAAGCAAGGTAAAAAAAACTTGCCTTGTGACATTTGGCTATGACTCCAGGGCTTAAATTCAACATGCGTACAAAGATGTAATAACAACCATTCAACAGTTAAATCAAGTTCAATATTTTGATTTGCCAAAATTATAAGAGTTGTCGATATTTAATATTTTAAAACAGCTTCCATCTCCAGCGTGACGAACATCTGTCATGTGTGAGAAAAGTGAGCTAAAGTGGAAAAAGGTCGGCTAAATGTTTCACATTAAACCACGTCACTTGTTGCTCCATATTTGGGGAACTGCACTGCAATACACACAAATTCTAAAAGTTTATTCACACTGTTAAATGTTTAAACCAAAGGCAGGTGGAGAAATGTTTTGAAAAATAAAATGAAGTGTGTAATAAAAAGCACTAATTTAACAGTATTGCCATCCAAAACATACCAACTAAATTTGATCCGTCGTTATTTATTTTATAAACTAGACTAATCATTCGTTCTGTGCGCACGTTTAAAGTTACACGGCATCTATTACGGAAAAATGCTGTATTTGACATAAATCAAATCAGGTTCTTCTCAACAACACATTTCAAGAAACTTTCATCTAAACGGATGCTGGAAATGTTCTGCTATTAACACAACCCTCAGGCGACAAACATTGCATAATGTTGCATGCTTACTTCCTGTTTTTGATATCAACGTCCTTCACATATCTTTACAACAGAAAAATAAAATCAGATGCTGACAGATTACGGAGAAAAACGGCAAGCCTGACAAATTCTTGACACAGATCAGGCCCCGTAAGAAAGTTTCCGTGGTGCAGATAAAACCTATTTGAATATTCCTTCAGAAAGGTTTCTTCTGGTTGATGTCCTTGCAGTAAAGCTGTTGACAGCAAGAGATCTGCTCCTCATCCTGCAAGACTTTCGTGCACTAAAGCAGTTTTTACATGTCCATCTACTCTTTGTTGAACAGGAAATTTGCTTATAGGAGTTTTAAAACTTAGAAGCAGATGAGTGATGAGTTGCAGTTTATTTCCCATGCCAGCTTTAACTCGGCATCTCATTAAAGAGTCTCACTGAACAGTCAAATGTTCTTCTCCTGTAACGCATTGCATGCACGAAAATGTGTTTACTTTCAGAGCTAACTGTACACATTGAGAATAATATTTGATATTATGGGCTGATTTCACACTAAACAGAAACTACCTCTTATTTATATTTCTCTCCACACGTGCAGAAGATGGAAGAGTTTGTTTTCGGTATAAATAGTGCAGATTCACTCGGATTTCTCGGTTCAAAAGTTGCTGAAGAGCTCCTGCTTCCTGCTCCAGTCCATAGGGGGCGCTCTCTTCTTGCTGCGGGTGGCGAGGACCTTCTGTCTCGCCTCGGCAGCGGTGGGACTCAGGCGCAGGCCGTTCTCCACTAAGGGGTCTGAAATGCGCCTGTCGTCATCTTCAGGAACCTGGAGCCGGTGCAAACAGGTCATGACTCGCTCCGGACCGAGAGCCGCCGTCGAGTCTCTCGCGTCGCTCTTCACTCACCTGGAAGCTCATGTCTGAGCTGCTGATCTCTGACTGGGTGGTGGAGCTCCTGGAGGAGTGAGACGCCGAGCTGCCGTGGGCTCGGGATTTGGGAGACGTGTTTGCAATGTCGGACTCTGTCAGGGTGACGCTGATGATGGGCGCGTCCGACGCGGGGAGCTCAGGGGTCGGTGACGGGGTCGGCGGGGTGCTTTCTGCACGCCTTTCGTCCACGTAGACCTCTGCGGAAGTGGAAGCAAGCACAGGTCAGCGTCGGCTCAGTGGAGTCGCGTGTTGAGAGCCGGAGGGTTTGGTTGACCTTTGGTGTGGGCGGTGGTTGGGGTGATTCCCAGTCTGCGGAAGAGTTCGTCTGTTTCCTGGTCGACCACCAGAAGGTTGACTTCGTCCCCTCTGGATCTGATGAGCGCCACCACCTCCGAGTGCCGCAGGCCCTTCGTGTTTACGCCGTTTACCTGAGACGGAAAAAACCAGTCAAGATTATTCCTATAGGACAGTTCAGCACACAAGGTAGTTCAAAGTGCTTTGATAAAAACATAATATAATCACCAACTATGAAACAAGCAACAAATTTCACATTTTGTCAAAAGCCATCAGTAAAATCTTCAAACGGATATATATCAAATATGTTGATCAATGTTCTAGTTACAACCAGTCAAAGACAACTTTAAACATGCTGGCTTCAGACTTAATTTAAAGGAGATTTGTGGTGCTGAATGCTGCTTCCCCATGTTTGATTATGGTTCTGGAGATGCAGAGCAGAACCAGAACCAGAAGACCTGAGAGGTTCTGGAAGGTTAATACAACGATGGCAGATGGTATTTCTGTCATTCGGTGATTTATAAACTAACTATAAAGTATTTTAAAGTCTGTTCCCTGAGCTACAGGGAGTCAGTGTTTGGACTTTAGAACTGGTGGGATGTGCTCCATCGTCCTGGTTTTGGTCAGAACCCGAGCAGCAGCGTTCTGGATCAGCTCCAGCCGGAGGATTCATTTTTCAGGCAGACCTGTGAAGACGCTGTTCTAGTAATCAACGTGACTAAAGACAGACGCGTCTCGCTCTTAGGGCAACACTTTGTTATTGTCTTTGTGTCTCTGAAGCTTCAGGTCTGAGTCCGCCTCTGCGTCAGAGCAGATAAGGTTCTGTTGGAAAGAGGAAGGCGTCGCCAGTGGTGGAACACGGTTCGGCCGGGTGCAGTGCTGCGCAGAACATGCCTGTGATTTGAGAGGAAGCCGCTTTGCATGAAGTCTTTCCCTGCGTCAGCACTCTCCATTTCCGCGTCATTAACCGAGCACTTGATGCAGATGAGAATGAAAACAAAGTCTCAACTGTGCAACACCATGACTGCAAAGCTGCTGCACACAGACTGGCATACGGGGCCCTCCAAACCTATCACCGCCTAGTCTTAGGGATGAATTAAAACCTTGAATTTATCTCTTTCTTGCTGCCAGTATTTTGTCCATTTTGGTCAGAACCCGAGCAGCAGCGTTCTGGATCAGCTCCAGCCGGAGGATTCATTTTTCAGGCAGACCTGTGAAGACGCTGATTTATAAGCTGATTTATAGGAAAACATTTTACATTCCCTTATAGAATTTCACATGGTTGGAGCATGAAGAGAGAAACATTACGTAGGGGGAACTGCCTAAGTTTTTGGGGGTTTTGTGCTACGTTTTCAGAACTGCACTACATGTTATCCAGCTGCAGTTTTTTCAGGATTTTCCATGTGGCGGCTGGTTTGGTTGGGTTCATACAAAAATCTCCACTGAGCACAACATCCACATTATTGTAACAGCGTGTGTTTCCCATTTCTTGAAGAGGGGCCACAAGGAAAAGAAGAATTCATCCTTTTACCTCTTTGCCAGACGCATCAATCCGGTTGGAGAGCACTGTGGGTATCTTTCCAACAAAGGGCAACGTTTAAAAGAAATGCCACAAAACAAAAACAACATGCAACCCTAAGTTATTTATAAGACTGGAAAACATTTTTCCTCCAATAAAGCACTCTTAAACCCTCTGGGTTTTTTTTTTTTTGTAAGTGGGCACATCAGTCAGCTGTACCTCCACTAGTCTGTCTCCAGTCCGGAGGCCAGCTCTGTCTGCGGGTGAGTTGGGGTCCACAGAGCGGACGAACTGGCCGCCTTTCTTCTTGTCGCTCTGCAGGTTGAAGCAGTAGCCGTTCTCCCCCTTCACCAGGCGGCACAGTCGAGGGAGGAGCTCCACCGTCGGCTCGGGGGACGACTCCACCTGCGGCGGATGGAACATCTTTGATGCTTAATGTCTGCAAATTAGTCTGATTTGAACCTTCAGGGACCTTTTTTCTATCCACAGTCAAACATGAAGCTGCAACTTATTCATATTAGCAGGAGTCTTGCATTACTTTTTGTTTGTTTTAGAAAATTTCACATCTGGTTTAAATTTTGAATTCAATTAACCGTTGAGTTCCCGTTCAGTTTTCAGGACAGTTGTTGCCTGGTAGCAGTGGCGGAGCCAGAGGGGTGGCCGGGGTGGCACTTGCCACCCCCAACAGAGCCCTGGCCACCCCTACTGCCACCCACTGGAAATGGTAATTTGAAAATATAATACTAAAGAGATCGGCAAAGATTTGCCAGGAAAACTGTAATTTCCGACTGTCCCTGAAGGTAGCCCGATGCCCGACGCTGTTCATTGGTTAAACTGACATGTGGATCCTGCTTGATCCAAAACACATCCACGGCTTTAGAGTTACACCGTCCAGGAGTTCTGCAGGTATTTACAACATTTTACCGCTCAGCTGTAACCGCTGTTACCTTCCTAATGAGAGGCGACACTTGTCATACATTTCTAAAAAAAAAAAAAATGGTTGTGTACCGCTGCTAGTGCCTCGTTTATTATATTAGCCATGCTAGTGCTGATAGATCGTGTTTTAGACAGATTCTTTTAACATGTTTTAGTGCACATGCTGCCCTCTAATGTTTTATATCTCCCAGCTCTTGCTTGAATGTGTGGTGAGAATATGTGAAAAACCATTAAGTTTTATAATGACTGAAATGTAAGTAGGCTATGTCATATGAAAGCTTTGAATTATAACCTAACTAGTTATATTAATTAATTTTGATCGAAAGGAAACAAATATTTTTTCCTTTCGTTCCATGGAACGGTCCATTTGTATATTGACCCCTCTGATAAAGCCTTGCTCACCCTTTGGCCACCCCTTGAAAAAAAGTCTAGCTCCACCACTGACTGGTAGATGTGTTGGATCACGTCATTGACAGACAAAATACTTGTCAAGTTAAAATATTTTATTATTGCTATTGAATAACTTAAAAAATATATATATATATATATATATATATAATTCCCTTCTCACCCACCACGGGTGGTTCTTATCCTCTGAGCTCGGGTCCTCTACCAGAGGCCTGGGAGCTTGAGGGTTCTGCGCAGTATCTTGGCTGTGCCAAGGACTGCACATTTCTGGACTGAGATGTCTGATGTTGTTCCTGGGATCTGTTGTAGCCACTGCTCCAGTTTGGGGGTTACTGCCCCGAGGGCCCCGATGACCACAGGCACCACTGTGGTCTTCACCTTCCAGGCCCTCTCCAGTTCTTCCCTGAGGCCCTGGTATTTCTCCAGTTTCTCGTGCTCCTTTTTCCTGATGTTGCAATCACTTGGTATTGCTACATCTACCACAACGGCTTTCCTCTGATGTTTATCCACTACGACAATGTCTGGTTGGTTCGCCATTACCATTTGTCTGTCTGGATCTGGAAGTCCCACAGGATCTTAGCTCTGGCGTTCTCCACCACCTTTGGGGGTGTTTCCCACTTTGATCTCGGGGTTTCCAGTCCATATTCTGCACAGATGTTTCTGTACACTATGCCTGCCACTTGGTTATGTCGCTCCATGTACGCTTTCCCTGCCAGTATCTTGCACCCTGCTGTGATGTGCTGGACTGTCTCAGGGGCCTCCTTGCACAACCTACACCTTGGGTCTTGTCTGGTGTGGTAGATCTGGGCCTCTATTGCTCTGGTGTTTAGGGCCTGTTCCTGGGCGGCCAGGATGAGGGCCTCTGTGCTGTCCTTGAGTCCAGCTTTTTCCAGCCATTGGTAGGATTTACTGATATCAGCCACTTGGGTTATTTGCTGGTGGTACATCCCATGTAGGGGCTTGTCCTCCCATGATGGTATCTCTGGCACCTCAACCTCCGTTCCCTGTTGTCTGAGACATTCACTGAGCACATTGTCTGTTGAGGCTTTGTCCCTGATGTATTTATGGATCTTAGTTGTTTCGTCCTGGACAGTGGTTCTCACACTCACTAGTCCTCTGCCTCCGTCCTTGCGGCTCGTGTACAGTCTCAGGGTGCTGGATTTGGGATGGAACCCTCCATGCATGGTTAGTAGCTTTCTAGTCTTAATATCTGTGGCTTTCATCTCCTCCTTTGGCCAGCTGATTATTCCAGCAGGGTATCTGATTACTGGCAGGGCATAGCTGTTTATCGCACGGATTTTGTTCTTGCCATTGAGCTGGCTTCTCAGGACTTGCCTTATTCGTTGGAGGTATTTAGCTGTGGCTCCTTTCCTTGTGGCCTCATCGAGGTTGCCATTTGCTTGTGGTATACCTAGGTACTTGTAACTGTCCTCTATGTCTGCTATTGTTCCTTGTGGGAGTGAGACTCCTTCTGTGTGGATCACCTTCCCCTCTTTGTGATCAGCCGACCACATTTCTCTAGTCCGAATGACATTCCAATGTCAGTGCTGTAGATCCTGGTGGTGTGGATCAGTGAGTCGATGTCTCGCTCACTCTTGGCATACAGCTTGATGTCATCCATGTAGAGGAGGTGACTGATGTTGGCCCCATTTTTGAGTCGGTATCCATAGCCAGTCTTGTTGATAATTTGGCTGAGGGGGTTCAGGCCTATGCAGAACAGTAGCGGGGACAGGGCATCTCCTTGGTATATGCCACATTTGATGGACACTTGTGCAAGTGGTTTGCAGTTGGCTTCAAGGGTGGTTTTCCACAGCCTCATCGAGTTTGCAATGAAGGCTCTCAGAATCCTGTTGATGTTATACATCTCTAGGCATTCAATGATCCAAGTATGCGGCATTGAGTCATAGGCTTTCTTGTAATCGATCCAAGCCATGCACAGGTTGGTGTGTCGGGTTTTGCAGTCTCGGGCAACTGTGCGGTCTACGAGGAGTTGGTGTTTGGCTCCTCTGGTATTTACACCGATACCCTTCTGTGCCGTGCTCATGTGTTTATCCATGTGTTTGCTTATCTTGGCCGCTATGATGCCTGACATGAGCTTCCAGGTTGTGGAGAGGCAGGTTATTGGTCGGTAGTTGGGTGGGACTGGACCCTTTGATGGATCCTTCTGGATTAGGATTGTCCGCCCTTCAGTTAACCATTCAGGGTGAGTCCCACTTTGTAGCAGCTGGTTCATTTGGGCTGCCAGTCGCTCATGGAGAGCAGTGAGTTTCTTTAGCCAGTAGGCATGGATCATGTCAGGCCCTGGTGCTGTCCAGTTTTTCATACCTGAGACTCTTTCTTGAACATCTGTCACAGTGATGGTTACCGGGGCTTGCTCAGGGAGGTTGCTGTGGTCCTCTCGTAGAGAGATCAGCCACTGTGCATTGCTGTTGTGGGACGCCTCCCTTTCCCATATGCCTTTCCAGTATTGTTCCGTCTCCAGCCTTGGTGGGTCTGCTCTGTTGTTATTGTTACCCTGCCATTGAGAGTACACCTTAGCTGGTTGAGTGGAGAAGAGCCGGTTAATCCTTCTGGATTCATTCTCCCTTGTGTATCTCTTTAGGCGGCTGGCCAAGGCTTGGAGCCTCTGTTTGGCAGTCTCGAGTGCTTCAGGTATGGGCATCTGGCTGTACTTTCTGGGTACTGGTCTTTTCATTGTACCCTTGTGGAGCTCTGACAGTTGGCTCACTTCCCTCCTTGTTACCTTGATTTTAGCCTCTAACCGTCTTTTCCATGGTGGGTATTGGGTCTCATGGTTGCTCTTATAGCCAAGTATCTCAAGGATCACTGATGCTGAGTTGTAGATCAGCTCATTGGTTTCTGTTATGGTGTTGGTAGGGATCGTTCTCAATGCTGCATTCACATTCTCAATGAGACTTTCTGATGGTACTTCACTCAGCCGTTGTAATTGGCGCCGGGGAGGCCTGGTTGTCATTCGGGTCATGATTCTCTCTCTCAGGTCAGCAGCTGTCTCGTTCAGCTCTGTTTCGCTCATTGGGGCCGTGTATCCCCTCACTGGGTGGGGACTTGTAGTTAAGTCCCCACAGTCCTGACATCCGGGTTCCTCCCTTTTGCCGTAGCATTTGTGTTGTATCTCGTCAATCTCAAGTTGTGATAGCAGTTGCCGTTTGCGGATGTTGGAACACTGAGCTACTAGTTGTTTAGCGCTTAGTGTTGACTGGGGATGTCGAAGTAACCATTCCTTCCCCAGTCTTTGCATGTAACCTCTCTCACTAGGGTTACTTGAGTAGTAGCATTCCAACAGATCCACATTTTCATCTCTCGCCCATTTCCGTCTTGTTCCAGTAGCCCATTTGTCATCAAGGTGCTCTGGTTCCCCAACACCTGACGCAGACCTTGTTTGGCCGGGCGACGTCTGAGCCGGCATGTTATGCAACTTAGTATCTCTCATGGTATGAGGTAGGCAGTAGCTTGAAGGGTCTTGCCTAAGGACCCAGACTGGATTCGAACCCTGCCCTCTCGGGTGATATACTGATGCCTTATGTATTGAGCTATCCAGTCATATATATATATATATATATATATATATATATATATATATATATATATATATATATATATGAATCTTATTTCCATTTAATATTGTCGCTGTTCTGGTTTACGGTTCCCTGCAAAAGTAGAACTTCTCCACATTTTGTCACGTGTTATCCAAAACTTTATTTCATGAGGATTTTAGTTGACAGACCAACACAAAGTAGTGGATAATTGTCCATTTATTCATTTATTTACTCTAACACGTGAATATGCTCTGATCTGAACCACTCCACTGTAGTTCTGTCTGCTTGTTTATGTCTCAGAGGTTTTCTTCCAGAGTTTTCCTGCTACTTCCATATCCCCCTCTACTCTGACCAGTTTTCTTGAAGACAGGCATGTTGATGCAATTGCAATGTTTCACTGTGGTGTGACGTCTTCAGACGTGCAGGGTTAGTTATTCTGCTATAAACGGCGTTTTGCTTGTAGGCCAAACGTTTCAAAGAATTTCATGTGGCCGTGTCAGGGCAAAAAAACAAATGGCTCAAACAAGAATGGTTCCTTGCATCATCAATTCAGGAGGACGGATTATGAATAACTGTTACTCTCTTCAGATCATTTATTTGCAAAGCCAAAGTAATAGATTGTGGTTCGTGACTACCAAGTGATGAGTAGCTTTGCATGACTCTGTGTGCTGTCGTGGGTCGTTTGCTGCCAGGTTGACCTGCTGGTCACAAAGCTGACCGAAGTCGACTAAGTGGATCTGACTGAGCCACTCCAGCTGATCCCGAGCCTTGTGTCCAGCAACAAGAGCTGACACTCTGCGTGACACCGGCCTGGACACCGACCCCCACAGCAAGCCTCATGCAGGGGCTTTACATTAGTCACCGTCCCGAAGGCAACGGCGCTTAGCGGCCGTCTGGTGATGCAGCTGAGGATCTACCTTCACGGTGAGCTGACCTGAGGGCTGACGGGCATGTTTCCACTGTCAACAGCTGAAAGAATGAAGGGAGACTCTTTGTTGTGTGTGCATCTCCGTACAATATCAAGCTCACCGAACTGTTTGACACTTGCGTTGTGGAGCTGCAGTTACGAAACAAAAGCTTTAGATGACCAAACATTGACATGCCTGCATGTTTTCAGCGACCTGTTCATCGCGCTGACCTGTGAAGTTGCTTCAACTGAACAACAAACTCGAGCCACATGCATCGCTCGGCTGCAATGAGCCAAAACTTTCTTTTGTTTTGAAAGAAAGAGAGAGCGATAAAGCATTTTTAATACAGCGTGATGTTATAACAGACCCTCCAGTTATTGCTAATCATGACACAAAGTAATTTATGGCGACGTCTGCAGAGCCCTCTTAAGGCACAAACACATTACATCCACAAATTACAACATGAGTTTATCTTCAGCCAACAGGGCATTCAGGTTCTATGCTGCACAAATCTAGAATAAACTTCCAGAAAAATGCAAAACTGCCGAAACGCCGAGTCCCTTGAAACCGAGGTTTGAAACACACGTTTAGAGCTGTCTCTGATTAGCAGTAACTGGAGAATTAATTAATATATTTGTGGTGCATTTGCTTGATGGTATTTGACAAAAAAAAAAAAAATCATGTTTAACCGCTTGTTTCCTAATTGGTTCCTGTGCACTTTGCCGTGCTGCTGAAATGTGCTGTGCAAATAAACTCGACTGAGCTTGACTACAACATTACTAGAAGGAATAGCGAACGGCCCCCTGTACCCTGATACACCAAAAGTAAATAAAAGTTTGTCTGCATGTAATATGATCTCAGGTTTCTGTATATCTCACAAATTATTGTTCAATGCATCATTTAAAACAAACTCATGTTTTATCGAGTGGAAAATGTAATAATGATGGAAAAAAAAACACGGATTGAATAATTTATATTTCTTTTTCCTTCACTCTTATTTATTATGGAGTCACTGGACCGAGACGCATGGAAAACGTCTCAAAGTGAGCTTTTACTCAAATGTATACATAAAATAAAAAGCTCAGTTCTATATAATCTCAGACCAAAATGACCAAGAGATATCAAATATAAAGTTGCAACACGAACAGTTACTAAAACATAGAGGGATATGCGTACGTCGTTATGCAAGAGGCAGAGGTGACGTAACTGAGTGAGATTCGTGAGAATGTGTGTGTGTGTGTGTGTGTGTGTCAGCGGTCTGAGCCTTTCTCAGCTGAGGTTTCGTTTGGCTGCTGCCGTCAAAACCTCACGCAGCCGTATGTTCAGAGAGGTGAATGTCGGTCACAAGGCAGTGAAAGTGTGTGTCCTTTGTGTCTGGGATTAATTTGCCGTTTTGGGTCACAAAACGAGGCCCCATCAGCGCCTTCTCTTCAGATTACGGATTAAATACAAAGTACTGAAGGCAGGTGTCGACCATTACATAACTGGTCCTGGTTGATCTCATGATGTTTTACCTCATTTTCCAAGTAATTGTCAAACCAAAACGGAGTCAGGCGGCTGTGATGCAGGGCGAGGGAACAGCCTTTATTTACTCTGCTTTCAGCTAAACACATGGCCAGTTTGAGACGAACCGCTAGCCTCGCAGATCTGGGCCCGGTTTGTTTGGAGTCAAAACAACGAGCCCGGTCCGTGAGAGTCGGTTCTGACTTCCAGACGTCACAGGGCACTTGTGGAAATGCTGAATGTGTTCGTTTGCTAATCTTTCAAAGCGAGTGGCACTAATTTAGCGTTTTCCAGTGACTGCAGCTCATTTCATTGTGCATGCGGTCAGTTCTGCGGCCACAAGTCAGATGTCTTGTGATCATATTTAATCGATCAACGTGGCTTTGTTGAATTTGATCACTGTCTCCTATTTCTTTCCCAGACCACGCCCTCACCTGGACTCAAAACAGTTCAAATACACTGTAACAGTTTAAAAGCAGGCAACTGACCAGAAGAGTTGCTGCAAAAGTGATGAAATAGATCTGGAAACAAATTGAGAGATCACTTAAAATGATTGGTTTCTCTGATTTTACTCTTCGTAGATAAATGTTTGAGTGAAATGAACATTGTTCTTTTATCCTATGAACTACTGATAACATGTCTCTGAAATTCCAAGCAAAACTATTTATTTAGTATTTATTTACAGAAAATTAGAAATGATCAAAATAACGATAAAGATGCAGTGTTTTCAGACCTCAAATAATGCAAAAAAAATGAGCCACATTCATTCAGAAACAACAATGCTAACATTTTAATTCAAGAGTTCAGAAATCAGTATTTGGTGGGATAACATCGAGGTTTTCGAATGGTTTCAGTGCAGTGATCTCCTCATTTCTTCCAGAGCCGTATTTTAAACTCTTTAATATTAAGGCTTTCTATTTCTTGCAAGTAAAAGTCTGAAAAGTGTGGCGTGCATTTGTATCTGCTAATCTCTATTCTAATATCTCTAAATAAAACAACCAATAACAAGCCAGCTAATTAATACAATTCAATTTCATCCGTTTGAATGAAACATTATTTGTTCCCAAGAAGCAATTTAAGGGCACTGGTGAGCAGAACAAACATCGACACATTGGAAAAAACAAAAACAAAACAAACACACACAGAAACATATATATATATATATATATATATATATATATATATATATATATATATATATATATAAAAACACAAGCATATTTATTGGCATGCAACTTGCCAATGAATGTAAACTCACAGCCAAACCTACAGTGGAATGTTTTAGTTCAAAGTTTTCTGTGTCAGAATGGTTCAGTCAAAGTACAGAGTTCCTCACCCTGTGACTGACTGACGATGTTGAGCTGTTTTACCAAACAGGAGAGACTGATACAGTAAATGTGTCGTTTGTGGTTTTTATATGTAAAAATATCTAAAATCGTGGAGCTGTTTTTTTATCGTCTTCTATGCGCTACTTTGTGTTGGTTTACCCCATAAAATCACAAGGAAATAGATTTAAAATCGAGGTTGTGACAGGACATAATGTGACAGCTCATGCATGCTCATTTGTTTTGACATTTTCTTCTTCTATTCTCCCTCCATCTTTCATGGATCCACGTTCTCGACGTCAGTGCTTACCTCGCTGTCTGGCGCTGAACTCGACGTCGTCGAGGCTCTCGCGTCCTTGTTTTCAGGGGATACCCGAGTGGGCGAGTCTGCAGCAGGAAAATTGAAGAAGTATCTAAGGTTGGATTTGAGAAACAGCGGGGAGCCCTCTCTTGGCACGGGTGACGCTGAGGGCGTGGGCTTGGGGGACGGGCGAGGGGAGAGGTTCCCCATTTCAACGGCCTGGTCCTCTGTGCAGGCCAGTCCCTGGCTCCGCAGGTAGTCATCCGTTTCTCTGTCGACTACCAGCAGCCTGGTGTGGTGGGGCGTCGCACAGATGCGGTTGACCACCTGCAGAGAGGGGAAACAAAGACGCAACAAAAAGATCGACTTGATCAACACAGAGTTGTTTTGGTGCAAAGTGATTTTGGTGTTTGGAGGAGATTCGCAATGTGAAGTTTATGGATGAAGCTTAACGAGTCACAACACAGAGACACGTGAAGGATGTGGGCTGCTGCTGCCGGAGACAGCTTCAGACGCATCCTAACTCCGGTCTAGAGTCGTCTTCTTAAACAAAAGTTAATTTTATATTTAATTTGGAAACAAAGGTCCCAGAGTGTGGAGGAAGAGTGGAGACTGAGGCCCAGGATCTGCACTGTGAAGTCCAGAGTGACGCCTCCACAGGCAGTGATGACTTGGGGTGACATGTCTTTTTACTGGTTTTGGTCCACTGGTGTTTTCTGAAGTCCTCTGCCCATCTACCAGGACATTTTTAGAGGACTTCTTCATGCTTCTTTCAGATGATGAGCTTTATGGAGATATTAAATTTATTTTCCATCAGGATTTGGAAGCTGCCCATCCTGCCAAAAACAGGAAGCGAGATTCAGAAACGCAACTGAGCCGAATGCCATAGATCAACCTTAGGAGAACTTTGGGCTGATCCCCTCCATGCTGTGCTGCACTGATGCAGTAACACACGAAAGCACAATGGCTGAGCCAACATTCATCTCCAGGATGTTTAAAATAGTTTCCTAAAGGTCTCAGGGACCAATCAGGTGCTTCTCGGCGAAAGTCAGAAAAAGCTTTGTGTGTTTTTTAACTTTGGTCTACAGAGGTTTTGCCATGAATATTATGTTCCATATCTCTTTCTCATTGCTGAATCATAAACACGGACCTTGACTCGGGTAAATGAAGGCTGGGTTCTTGGGGCCTGAATCACTGACGATGTTTCTGTCGAGCCTCCGGAGAGATGCTCCACAGAAACACGCTTTCTCTTTTTGGGGTTAGAGGTTTATTATAGCACTCCTTCTACATATGTTTACTTGAGTGTAAAAAAGCAGAAATTGCTCAAGAGTAAAAAAGTATTTGAGTGAGAAGTAAGAACTGAATATTTGATCAAATCATGAACCACTAAATATTTAAAAATGACCCCATCAGACAGCCTAAAACATAATGACATGTGGAAATGTTGGTAATTTAAAGCTCTAAATGAAAATAATCCATATGTCACGTAATTACAAAATAACAAAACATTTTCCCGCCCAGCTCAATCTCTTTCCACATAAAACTTATGAAACTTGAACAAAAATCCCTCCTGAAATCCAACACATCTTGATATAAAATTTCCTCCAGCGTAATAAAAATACTCGCAGTTATTCTTTCTTTGTTTCCAAAATAGTTACTAAAGTAAATGTTTCTAGTTCCCAACACTCAGGATAGTTTCTTTGTCTTCATAATAAAATCAGTTTTTTGGTATTTTTATTTTTGTCTGGTATTTATTTGAACATCTAAAACATTTTTTCCCCCAAAAAAAGCATAAACTGAGAAAATCCGAACTGGGACATTTTATTCACAGTGTAGCGCTTTAAATCTGTTTCACCTTTTGGATTAAATTGTCTTCTTTTTGTTTTTTTTTTGTTTTTTTTTTTATGAAGAAGCATCGCGTGCACGCTTCCAGCATTTTGTGCGTCAATTGAAATGTTAGGCCGCTGCGGAGCGCGCTTTCCTTTCGGGCCTGGAGCTGATTTAAAAAAAAACACTGAATGCGCCATTTGGCTCTCTCGGCGCCTGTTGGCGCATAACGCTTTTGTGGCGCAACAAAAGACGAGCTGTGATTTCCGTTACACGGGCTCACTCTGACCCACATAGGGCCGCCCTCGTCTTCGGGCGAGAAAGGAAAAAGTTGTCCGACAGGTACATAGTGCATTGTTCCTCTCCTGGCTCATCTTTACGCAAAAAAAAAAAAAAAAAAAAAAAAAAAGTCGCGCAGTGTGCAGTGAGCAGTGAGTCGCTCTCACCTGATGGTGACTTTCTTTCTCCACGTTCTCCCCGTTCACCTCCACCAGTCGATCCCCCGGCCGGAGCCCGGCCAGGTCAGCAGGGGAGCCGGGCTCCACGGTGCGGATGAACTGTCCGCCTTTCTTCTTCTCGCCGTGCAGGTGGAAGCCATATCCGCGCTGTCCTTTGATCAGAAAGCAAAGCCTGGGTCTCAGCTCCATCTCCATCCCGGTGTGTGAAGGTGAAAAAGAAAGTAAATAAATAAATAAAAAGAAGAAGAAAAAACTACACAACTCAAAGTGCGTCCCGGGAACAAACGGGTGGATCTTCTCCGAGAGCTTTGGGGAGTTTCTGGCTTTTAATCCAACGCGCTTCCACTCGATCCAGAGACAAAAAGCTCATCGTCGTTATTCGGCATGCCGTAGTAATCCACAAAAATCTGAAGAGTGCAAATAAAAAAAAACATGGCAAACGCCTCACACTCCTGTACCCCTCACCCAAAAAAACCCCCAACAACAATAACAAAAAAAATAAATAAAATCTGGGGATTAATCCATTTTTAGGGCACAAACGCGAGCGCGCAAAGTGGTGCGTAAAATAGCGCTAAAGTGGAAACATGGACACGTTAAGTCCCGTCCATCAGTATAATCCAAGAGATCAGAGATTAGAAAGCCGGTCCACGCACGTAACACTTAATTCTCCTCGCCAGCGGGGGCGCGTGTGTCCTCCCGAGCGACCCGGCGAGAGTGGGGAGGCGTCAAGAACACACGCCACTGTCCCCCGCAGCGCACACCTGGAGAGGCAGCCCCGCCGCTCTGCAGGCCGGGAGGACGGCAGCTATTGTAAATATATAGGCGGGGACACTTGTTGTTGACCCCCCTCCCCCTCCACGCCCACCTTGGAGCGGGCAAACGTCGCCCTGAGCGGTGCGGCTGAAACCCGACAGGCTGTGACCTGAGAAATCAAATCTTCCCCGTCAGGCCTCTGCCTCCGTATCTCTGCCGCAGATCGCCAGAAGAGCGACTGCGTGAAAGCGGTGCGCGTGAAAGAGAAGCTTTTCCGTACGATCGCGGATGCGTGCGTGCGCGGAGTATGCTTGAGAACATCTGACTTTCCTTGATTTGACTCAGATGCAGGGAAGATGAGAAGTTTGCATTTTTGCAAATGAGTAAAACAAAACAAAACAAAAAGCTTCCTGGACCTTTTTGTGTTTGTTCAACCCTGTTGGGTCACATTCCCACACACACACGAGAGAGGAGTGTTTTTCAACCTTAAAGTTGGAGAAAATCAAAGCTGATGCTGCTCGACTTTCACTGAAGTTTTCTTTTATAATTAGGCCTACTTAAATAGTGAAAAATATTAATTTCTCATCTTGTGTATATATATATATATATATATATATATATATGTATACCCAAAGAGAAAATCTAAAGTTTTGTTTGCTATTGTGTCTCCTGCTGCTTTCCACATTAAAGTTCATGGTAATGTATCCTAATATGTTGTGCATGACTATATTTCTGAGTGCAGTGTCCAAAATAACGAGCGAGATACGAAAAGTTTGTGATGAAATTTACAGTAAAATAAAAAGTGATTTTTAAAGTTTCTGTTACAACTTAAAGTATAAAACTTTAATAACAACAAAGAAAAAAAAAACAAAGATTCAAACACTACAAAAACTTCACTTCTTACTTTATTTATTTGAGTATAAAAAAATAAAACAGTACACAAATATTTCTATCTATCACTGCAGGCGTTTAATTACGAAACATATGGTGTTTTTTTTCTCTCCAACATCATAAATCAGCAGTTCAGTGTCATTTCGTTTTATTTTACACTCTTTCTTAATCTGGTGGATTCTGGTTTGCTGCCGATTTTCTTCTGGTATCACTTACTCGTTCAGATTCGACTTTAAATTTGCGCGATGGACCCGGAGAGCGTGGCGATCCGGGTTTGGGTCTTTTTGCGGGAGAGCATTTGTGAGCAGACGGACAGCTGTGCTGGTTCAGACACACGGAGCAGAGCGGGCCAACTGGGAGACAAACCTGCTGTCCAAAGCCAACCAGCAGCCAGTTGATCTCGCTCCACAGCTCCCTGCAGCAGAAACCAAACAAAAAAACTCTCAGGTGAGGATCAAACACTTTTGTTTGTCCACCAGGGGGCAACATAACCATCTGCAAAAGGAAACGGCGCCTGATTTTATTTTACCTGTTAAAGATAAAACACTGAACAGTTTTAGTGAGATTTTTATGTTAAGAAATTAAAAAATATTTTAAATGTGCAGAAAAGGGGAGAAAAATGTGAAATCAGAGGATATTTAGTTACATTTAACTTCAGTCTGAAATTGTTAAAAATTCTGAAGAAAATCATTCACTGAAAAATGTTTTTGTTGCCACCGGATAAACATAAGGTTGAAAATAAACTAAATATTTTGTATTTACTTTCAGTCCAGATATGAAAAAAAAAATTCTATATGATAAACACTAAAAGAGAGAAAGAAAAAAAGAAAGGAAGAAAGAAGGCAAAATAGAAAAATGGAAAAAGGAAGGACTGGAGGTAAATGAAAGGAGAATTACAGAAAGCAGGAAAAAAGACAGCGACAATGACACAAGTAAGGAAAGTCAGAAGGACAAAAGAAAAATGGACGTAAAAGGAAAGGAGAAAGAATGGGGGACACAGGGAAGGTAGGACATTAGGAAAAAGAGAAAGGAAGGAAAAATGCAAAGAAGGGAAGGAAGGAAGAATGCAAAGAAGGAAAGGGAGGAAGAATGCAAAGAAGGAAAGGGAGGAAGAATGCAAAGAAGGAAAGGCAGAAAAAATGCAAGGAAGGAAAGGAAGGAAGACAAAGCAGAAATGAAGGAAGGATTTGTGGTACGCAGAGGGAAAGAACGAGGGCAAAAGTAACTTGAACTAAAAGCAAATTTAAGTGAAAAAAGGTCTATAATCTTTGTGAGTCCATCTTTTAAAGCTGTATCGGACATGACTTGCTAACCGGGGCAACCACTCCTCCAGGGCCTTGCGTGTCTCTTCTGGGTTCTTGGTTGGTTTGTTGAGCCAGCCCAGCCTGTTGGAGATGCGATGCACATGTGTGTCCACTCCTAAACACAAAGTGAAGACAAGTCCCATCAGGGAGGGAGCACGCACACGCACACACACACACACACACACACACACACACACACACACACACACACACACACACACACACACACACACACACACACACACACACACACTCCTGCAGCTGTGGGTCAGCTTAGAGACGAGGTCCTTCAGAGAACAAGGTGCGCTACGTTGTCCATCACTGTCCAGGCAGACAGCTGCATATATCTACATTTGGAAACTATTGCCACTTGAAACTGGCCGCCATCGGTGATAAAAACCTATGCCAGACACTCGGTCCCAGGCGATGTCCATAGCCAGGTGGGCCATCTTAGGGCCGACTCCCGGCAGGCGAACCAGACCCTCCACGCTGTTCGGGATGTCTCCTCCGAACTCCGTCACCAGCATGGCCGACGTCTGCTTCAGAAACTTCACCTTGTTCTGCAGAAGAGGAGGAGGTTCAGTTTTGATTCATAACCTTTTAAGTGAACAGAAGAAATGAGACGAGCTGGTAAAATCAGGGGCGTCACCCTCCAGAAGCCGACGGGATGGATCAGCTCTCCCAGCTTTTTGTCGTCGGTGGCGGCGATGTTCTCTGCAGTGCAGCCATGCGCCCGGAGCCTCTGCATCGCCGCGCCCGTCACCTGGTCCCTCGTCTGGCTGGACAGCATGAGCGACACCAACACCTGGAAGCGCTTCACCTGTGAAAAGAGACGGAGCACTTAACTCCGCAGACACCGTTTATTTTAGAAGCTTAAAACGACGCGGCTCACACCTACGTGTGCGGGGGCTTGTGCGTCGTAGCATTTCTCAGCTCCCATGCTGTCCACTGGGGCGTCTCGACCGCTCCTCATGTCACGGATGAAGCCCAGCTGCTTCGTCCAATCCGGAGGCTCCCAGCGCTCCGTCTTTACCCGGGAGGCGCCGTCGTCTCCGTCGTACTCCACCTTGACCTGCCTCCTCCTGCGACCGCGAGGAAGCGGCGACGACGCTTCGGCCTCTGTGATAGGCCCGAGGCGTTCCGGGCAGCCATCTGGATAAAAAGAAAACATAAGAAAGGGAGTAAAGATGGCACCGAAAAAAAGAGAAGGAAAACACAAGAATTTGTTTATAAGAGACTGAATGTTACAAACATGTCAGTTATTGGTTCGTTTCATGACTTGTGATCAGTTAGGTCATAAAGGGCTTGTGCATTAAAACTGATGGGCAGAGCTTTAATCAGAGAAGCAGCCAAAAGGCTTATGGTAACTCTGGAAGAGCTGCACAGATCCACAACTCAGGTGGGAAACTAACACTCCAGATCCCCCTAAAACACAGCACCCATGTGGTGAAACACGATAGTGGCAGTATGATGGTGTGGGACAGAGTTAATGGGGAGAAGGATGGAGTTAAATGCTGGCCAATCCTGGAGGAAAGCTTTGTCGGAGGCTTCAATCTTTGTGAGACTACAGTAAAGGTTCACTTCAAAACAAATCCGCAGAGTTGAGAATTTGTTGCGAGATTTAAAACTCCAACATGTTTAGACTGCAACACTCTGAAGAGCAGCTCCAATCAACAAAGTCAGGACTGACGTCACCAGACTCAACATCTCGAGGCACAACTTTTGTTATTTTATTCTCCCTTGTCACCAGACGGTCTCCGTACTTTAGACTTCACACATGCGCAAATAACAAATCATGCAAAGTATTTAAATGGGGGCCTGCTTCTGTTTGTGTCCGATTTAAAATGCCAGCGTTTCCGGCGAGCCCAACGTGAACGTACGGCTGAATGAAGCGGTCAAAGAGGGCTTCTCCTCGGGTCCTGTCGCCTCCTCCACTTTCACCCTGCGTGCAGGAGCCGCGTCCACATCCCCCCGCCTGCTGCTGAGTCTGGACCTCAGAGAGGCCGCGGCTCCACCGCCCGCACCGCGACTGCTGCTGCTGCTCCGGGTGAGAACGGCGCTGCTTTGCATGAAATACGGAGAACTCATGGTCAAACTCCGAGCTGCACAACACGGTCTCCTCGCCTCGCAGCGGACATTACGAAGCGCTGCACAGGGCAGAGCATGAAGTTGGTTTCAGGATCGTAGTCTTTCAGCCCACCTCCCCTGGGGGGATTTATGGTATTGTAAACCGGGTTTAAATATATATGAGATTATACACTACTGTAGTGGTAATCTACAGATTTTTTTTGACGAAAGAAAGGCAGCATTTTCCAAAATGCAATGTAATTAAAAAAAGACATTAGTGCTAATGAACTAAACAAACTTTTTATATGCAACAAAGGAAAACCAAACATATAATTAATTCACACTTCCTGAAGTTCCACCGTCTTTGCTGTTGGATATTTGGAAATATAACATTTTCTAGAAATTTTGAACATTTTTACTTTTTTGTTGTCTTGCACTATAGCGCATAAAACTGAAAAATACAAAATTTCAAACTGAACATAAGAAGATGGATGGATGGATGGATGGATGGATGGATGGATCTATCTATCTATCTATCTATCTATCTATCTATCTATCTATCTATCTATCTATCTATCTATCTATCTATCTATCTATCTATCTATCTATCTATCTATCTATCTATCTATCTATCTATCTATCTATCTATCTATCTATCTGTTTCCTTTTTTGTCAACACAATTTATTGCCCCAATTTAGCTCCATACAAAACGTCTTTCAATTTTCTTGTAAACAAAATGTTTACAAGTAAATACTCTAATGGCTTGCCATAAAAAGCACGTCCTAATCAATAAGAAGCCAACTTCAGCAGTTAGCACGGTTAGGCTAATAACTGTAAAAGGTTTATTTTACACATTTTGTCAAACATTTTCCTACAATAAATAATTTCACTGTGATTTATAGTGCCATAAAAATGGTTATTTGTTTTGAATACACGCTTTACTCGCAATAAAAACCAGACGAGGAAAGAAAAAACACGTTCAACTGTCGTGGAACTCCATTTCCCGTGAGGGAGCGCGGCAAGCGTGTTTTCACCGGAAGTGTCGCCTGTCGGAGCGTTTATGTGTCATCCGGTTGGGGAGTGGAGGTCCGAGAACAGGCTTTCGGAAACAAATAGCAAGTTATATGAATGCACGGCAGCAGCGGAGTTCCCGTCAGGCTCCCGAAGGGCGAAGCCGTGGAGAAACGAAGGAGACAGCGACTCGGCTTCCGTGAGGTGAGAGAGAAAAGGGGGGCCAAGAGGTGTCGCTGTCTAGTTTAGGAACGTAAATCTTCCAATACCAAAGCAATGTTAGCCCGTGTGAGGCATGGCAAAGCACAGCAGAGCCATTGTTCGTTGTTGCTGGTGTCCTTGCAGGCATGTTTTTCCTGAGGCAGGAGGACACCTGGCACAGATGTTGTTGTTGGACTGAAACAGACCAGCCGTTGTCTGGTTGCTCCCTCCCTCTCTGCCTCCCTCCCTCCTCTCTGTCAAGTCCACATGACAGTAAACTCCTAAAACCAGCTCCCTGGGTTTACACATTTACCCAGCTGCACTCCGGGCATTAAATGACCTGTTTACCATCTGCTGATGGATTTACAGACCAACCCTGCGCCCGTCCAACCACAGGAGATGTCAGCTTTCTGGAGTTTGAACTCATTCACATTTTGACACCTTTGCAACCGCACAGTATATAATTTAATCTCAGCTGTAAATCTAGCTGACCCAAAACAAACCCATTCAGTCTTCCAGTCTGAGTGGGCTTGGCTGTTTTGCAAAGAATGCTGGGTAAAATGCTGTGCCCATATTAGATGGGCACAGCACTATTTGGTAAACTTAGGTAACAGACTTTTAGGAGGAGCCAAATATGTTGTTTACTTGGCGTTTAATATTTTGTCTTGCTAGTCTCAACAATTTCTAGTTTATAGAGTTCAAGTACAAGACAGGAAATCGCTGATTTTTCAATCTCTTCTCACTATATCTTGTTTTAAAAGCTAAATTATGGCGTACTTGTTTCTTCTCCAGGCTGCCGTCAGAGGCAGCTTTGAAGGACTTTCACCATGAATAAGCAGCAAAGCAAAGAAACGCTCAAAGAAAAAGTGAAGGGGATCTTTGGGCTCGGGACGCAACGGCAGCAAACGAAGCAGTGCGACTCAAAGCTCCCAGAGTTTATAATCACAGCCGACATAATAAAGGTGAGTGAAACTGCGTTTCTGTACATATTCGTTCAGGCCTTGTTTCCGGACCTGTCCTACTTCGTTTGTGTCTTTGCAGCTGAGAATTTCCATGTTAAACGCAGCTTGAAATACTTTGACTCTGGTGAGACAGGAAGCCTCTGACGGTGCAACAGAGGCAGAACATCTGCAATATTTTGCAGATGTTCTGTGTCCGGTATCGAAGAGCCGTTCTCCGTGGTCATCTCAGACAGATTACGCCATGAATTCAGTGAAACTGATGAAAAAATATCGGTTGTGTTGTATATTTCAAGGCAGAATGTTTTGTGATAGTTTTTGGGGGGTTAAAGGTGAAAGTTACTTAGAAACCACAAACAGAAGTTTTGATTAATAAATAATAATAATAAAAAGAATTATCTGCTCATGAATATTTTCAAGTATTTTGATCTTACCTCATACCTTGCCTCATATTTGCCTTTGCTTTTTGTTTTGTCATTTTTGCAGGAACTGCATCCTGATTGTGGCCTGAGCAACCGCATCCGGATGATGAACCAAATCTGCGATCTGGCCAAAATAAAAAAATTTGAAGAGGTGACTGATGTGTTTTTTGTTTTTCTACCACATGTTTTTTGTCAGAGCGACATGTGGAATCTTCCTCATTCATAAAACCTGTGACTCCGTGCCGTTCAGAACGCAGTGGAGGCTGTGTGGAAAGCCGTGGAGGACATGCTGTCTCAGGAGCAGCCGCCAGAGGCGCGACACGCCGTCCTGCAGCTTCTCCGGGCCATCATACAAGGACAGGTTAGACATGATTCATCCTGTGCAGCGTCTGCAAAATGTATGTTTCAGTATCTGAAGTCAAAACAAAATCCTAAAACAAACAAATGTGGCACGAGAACAAGTTTGAAGAATGACATCAGAGCAGAGAACTTAAATCTGGGCAGCAACAAACAATAGCAATAGCAATAACAATAGCAAAGAAGGAAGCAGTGATAATGATGAGCTCATATGATGATTATTTGTTTCATGAGGAGAAGGAAGAAACCGTAGAAATTTTGTCAGAAAGACACCATATTGGAAAGGAAATTAAGATTGAGGGTTCGGGACCAAGGGTTTTAAATAACAGTCTGCCTGTGCAGCAGGGGGCAGCATCCTGTGACAAAAATATTTAATAAAAAGTTTTTAGCAAAGAAACATAGAGGTAGATGTAGTCATTTCTTCTCCACTTAATGATTATTCTGAATCGCTGAAATGAATTACTCTAATGAGCTTTGAACTTCTTATCCAACCAGTGAAAGGAAGCAGCTGAAAATCTCACTTTTGTACAAAATGGACACCCAATGGTGTCCTGTGGCAGTCAACCTCCAGTTTTTATATATCACGATCCACTGAAGGTCACATCTATTGTGCTGTGGCAGGTTCCAGATTCCATGCAGCAGAAACGATAAAAGATGGTCATTCCTCAGACATTTAAATTTGAAATCAGTACACAGACTTCAGACACAACTACAAGCAGAAGGCTCAAACAAGAAGAACATGTCAACAGTCTGATGTTTCACACACAAAATGTCATAATATCTCTAAAAGTGTCAGACATTGACTGCCAGAAAATGTCATTTTGTTCCAGTGAGTCCAAAATGGATTAATCAAAGTGTTTGTTTTTTTAAGGGTGAGTGGCTCGGTCCTCTGAGGGCGTACTTTTTTAAGGTGATCAGAGACTACCAACCCTGCAACGAGGACCTTTCAGAAAGACTGGAGGTGTTCAAGGCTTTGACTGAAAATGGGAAGGACATCACATACTTGGAGGAGGACATAGGTAAAAAGTTTGTAAATTAGTCAGTTTAACTAGTTTAACTGCTAGTTAAACTTCTTTTAACTAGCAGTTTTTTCTTCTGCATCTTCTCAGCACACCAGCACACGAGTTGCTTCACTTCTCATTTCCACAACGACTTAAAAAGTTTTCTTCTCTCTCTCAGCACGGTTTGTCCTCCTGTGGATGGACATAGGTCTCACTTCAGACTTTCTCCAAGTTCTTGTGAATTTGGTCAAGTACAACAGCTGCTATCTGGATCAGAACGTCTCATGCATGGTGCAGTAAGTTTCAGTAACACGTAGAAATGCACTCATTGCTGAATGGGCTTCAGGGTTTTATTGACTTGCTTCTGTCAGACCCACTTCTGTATAGATGCTATTTTTTATTTTTATTTTTTACAGTTTGTTGGTGTTTTGCATGCAAGACACCTTGTTGACCGTCTGTGCTTTCTGCAGGAAAATCTGTCTTCTGTGCAACAGAACAACATCATCCACTGACATAGAGGTTGGTGTTGTCTCTATGGTCCACTGCTTAAAAAATAACTGCTTTTCTTATTGAAATAGTGATTTGTGCCCATAAACCTTTTCTACTGTCTGGCTTACAGGATCAGCCTTATTGGAAAAAGATGGTGGATATTTAATATCTAGATTTTATTACAAGACTTTATTTGTGATGTCAGGAGAAGATATGGTTTTTTAATAAAAACAAATAAAAACTACATCCTGATCAAATGTTTAACCCATTTCACTTTAATTTATGACATTTTTCAAAACTAAATAATAGATAATCATTTAGTAATTGAAATAAGCTTAATTAATAGCAACAGTTAGTTTAATAGGGACTGTGATGCTCTGGCAACCTATCCAGAGTTTACAAATGCATTAGTGCTCCTCAAGAACAGTCAGTTGTCTTAAAACATTACATTTTATTAGGTATCTTCTCGATCAATCTCGATTTTTCCACTAAACTTTCAAAAGAAACTATAAAACTAGAAGTCATAACCAGTGGTGGGACTCAATTATAATATTTCTGTGTAGTTAAGTTGCACATTAGAGATGCTAATCATAGTTTTGGTCGTGTTTCTTGCGTCCAGGTGGCGCTCCAGGTCTTGGATGCTGTTGTCTGCTACAACTGCCTGCCCTCTGAGTCCCTCACCGTCTTCATTATTACACTCTGCCGTACGGTTAACGTGAAAGAGTTCTGTGAATCCTGCTGGAAGGTGGGGAAGGGAACGGCTGTAGATAAATGATTTTGGAAATGCTTATACATCTGGTCGTCGTGTATTTTTTTTTATTTCCTTTTTGCTGCTGTGTGTCTCCAGCTGATGAGGAAAGTTCTGGGGACACATCTGGGCCACAGTGCTATATACACCATGTGCCGCATCATGGAGGAGAGGTGTCGCTCTTGTCTTTTTCTTTTCACTAATGCTTTGTTTGAAAAATAAATATTGTGGTGTTCAAAGTGAATCCTCCACCAGGGTGTACATGGAGGACGCTCCGCTGCTGAGAGGAGCCGTGTTCTTTGTGGGAATGGCTCTGTGGGGCGCCCACAGACTGCCTGCTCTAAAAAACACACCAACACTAGTGCTGCCGTCTTTCTACAAGGTAACCAATGCATTCATGTTAATCTACTCGCACTTGTTAAATTTTTCATATTCCAATACGAACACTTCTGAATCAATTCCTAATCAGACTTCACACAAATGTTTCAAATATGAATTTTCCTTCAAACATGAACGTTCAGGATGACTACCTGTGGATGTGTGTCTTTGTTTTGCCAGTGGGCCCCACTAGTTCCCCAGTTTTTACTCTGCATGCTGCAGTCATGATGTTTAAGCCGTTGGCAGTAAAGAGGCCTTCGACCGAAACTGGTCAGCAACGGGACGGTTTTTGGCAAAACTCGAAAGAGAGAAATGTCAAAACCTCAAAGATAGAACCTCAAATAATCTACTTAGACAGTTTATTAGCGATGTTCACAGTGGGAGGTGGTGGAGAGGCACTTATTGCTCTTACGTTTAGCGTTTATTTAAATGAAAGCACACAGACCAGTCAGACGGACCTGCTGAGTAATAACTGTGGCCGCCTGACTTCTGCTTTCAGGCCATGTCATGTGCCAACGAGGTGGTGTCATATGAGATCGTCCTCTCCATCACCAGGCTGATCAAGAAATACGGCAAAGAGCTCCAGGTGGTCACATGGGACATCCTGCTGGGCATCATAGAGCGGCTGCTGCAGCAGATTCAGGTTCACACAAACGTAACGCGCATGGAGAGAAGGTGGGAAATCAACAGGTCTGTAGAGACTGAGCTCAATTCATTTTTGTGTGTGTTGTCAGATGATAGGCAGCGCAGAGCTGAAGGCCATCGTTTACGAGCTTCTGACCACAGTGGAAGAGCTGTATGAGCAGAACGGCTACCACGGCTCCACGGAGAAGTTCTTCAGTCTGGTGGAGAAATGTGCAGACAAGAGACCTGTTCGTACTCCCTGTGCTGTCCTGCGTTTGATCCTCTCCTCCATGTCGCTTTCCGTTCTCATTTTTAATCTCCGCGTGCGACAGGACGCCTCGGTGCTGACCCTCGTCTCGTACAGAGCGCAATCCATTCAGCCTGCGAAGGACGGCTGGATTCAGAGCCTCCACTGCCTGATGGAGAAATTCTTCAGGTGCGGCGCGCTCTGTCGGGAATCGGTTCACCTGTTTGGGCTTTGATTAGACTTCTAACGAGGCCTCTCTTTGTCACTCTGGAAGGAACGAGACGCGCAGTGGCATCAGGATCAAAGTTCTTCACATCCTGTCGTTCGTTCTGAGTACTAATCGCCAGCTCTACGAGGTTTGAACACTCGGCTGCAATTTTTTGTAAATTCAGTGCACTGATCAGATGAAAGACTTTCTAGTGTGGGCTGTTTTACACTTCAAAGCTATTTAAAAGTTAGAAACTAAGCTGGTTTCCAAACATCTCTTTACTTTTTGACGGGTGGTAAAGTTGGATCATTTATGTTAACTTTCAGGCTGCAACTAACAATTATTTTAATCAAAATAATGACAATTTTGATGTCATTAAAATAGTAACTTTTAATTGATGACCTCATCAACAGCAGATAAAAAAACCCTCACAAGCCTTTTTTTATACAATTTTAGCAAAAATGACAAATGATGCAAATTAATGAATAATTCAATTCCTTTTCTAATTCTAAAATGTCTTTTTTTAGGATTTCTTTAGTAAGTCTGAAGTGGTTGAAGCTGAAACTTTGCCACTTGAGAAGTTTAGGCTAAAACATAATGCTTATGTGATTTAAGCCCCTGCTCTTTTGTTTCATTCTGTTACTTTTTCTCCAGGACGAGCTAATTGAGAAGGTGGTGATCCCTCAGCTGGGTGGGATCGCTGAGGACCGGGACCTGGCGGTCAGAAAGCAGGCCACCCAGCTGCTGGTGGACCTCGCCGAGGGCTGCAATACGCATCACTTCACCAGCCTCCTGGACATCATCGAGCGGGTAAACGCAGGCAAACACGAGATCTCTTGAGACATTTAGTCGCCTCCAGTTCAGTCAGGTTGAGGTCTAGTTCTCTGTACAGGTGGCCAGTCGCTCTCTGGTTTGCTCTGGATCCCTGGAGGCTTCTGACCCCACGGCCGACTCTCCCATGGAGGATGTCAAGACGGCTGTGCTGGGGCTGCTGGAGATTCTGCAGGTACTTCTCTGGAAAGAGTGTTGTGTACCTGAGTGAACTTGCCCCCCTCCCCCCACCTTCTTCAAATCAGACAAAATGGGTGTCAAAACGTTTGTGCAGCAAAATATTTTTGTTTGTGCTGCTTTGGCCTTGAAGATGTTAATGAAATCAAATAAAATTGGTGTCAAATGTTTGTGCTATGTTTATGCACCAGCACAAACATCGCCGAGTTGATTGACACCTATTATGTTTCATTTTATGAAAGAGGAGGGGCTGGTTGACCTTTTGACCTTTGAACTTTAATTAAGATCTTCAAAGCCAAAGCAGCACATCCAAAAAACTTTTGATGAACAAACACAGTTGATTGACACCTGTTGTGTCTGATTTGAAGAAGGTGGGGGGCTGGTTGACCTTTGATGACCTCTGTCATCAAAGGTCAATGTTATGGATCATGAAGAACTCTTATTCTCTTATTCTGCCCTGCGATAGAGCAAACTTTACAGCCTGCCAGCCAGCCATGCCAGTCGTGTTTATGAGCTGCTTATCAGCCACCTGCAGCTCCACTACAAGAACAAATACTGCTCGGCTATCGCTTCTGCTGTTAGGCTGCAGGTAAAAACCAACCCGTTTTCTGTTCACATTTAATCTCTGCTCAGCTCTGCCCTGCATTATTTCTTTTTTTGTCCTTTTCAACTTGTCTGATCAGGTGTTTGACTTCTTCCTGATGATGCGTGCCGACTCTCTGCACCGCGTCGGGGTGCCCAACAAGGACGGGGTGATGAGGTTCAGCCCTTACTGCTACTGCGACGCTGGGTAAAAATGGAAACATGCACAAAAGAAGCTCATCTCACTTGAAGCAGCCTGAAAATGGCAAAACCGTTTTGTTTTTCAGGGAGCCAGAGAAGCGTGGTTGCGATAAGAAGCCTTCCGGTTCCATATCGCCCCCTGCTGGCGGTCCGGCTGCAGCTGCTGCGGCTCCTCCTGCTTCAGCAGCCTCCATCCGGTCGGCCTGTCTTCCCTACGCGCCTGCCTTCAGCGTCCTGCTGCAGTGCCTCAAGATGGTACGCAGAAATGTTCTAATAACGCAACACAGTGAAGTTGCATACATTTTTCCATGAGATTATTAGGACAGGAAGAATTTACTGTGAAAAAAACAAATAATCGCAGGGGTTTTAGACATATTTTAGACATAAACTAGATCAGGATTCCTATGCACACTTAGTTTAGAATGAGTTTTTATCATGTTCCAAGTATAGATCAGTTTTTAAAAAAATGGTTAAATGTAATAATTCTTCATAAATACATTGATTTTAGCACATAATTATTTTGAAATGGTTTGTTTTATGCCTTATTTTTCACGTCATTGAATTAGCATTTCACTCCCTAATACTTTGGGATTTTGAGGTGGTGACTTCACGCTCATTACTCATTATAACACAGAATTGGATGAGTAAACATGTCACAGTCTCTTATTTAGTGGTCTGTTCCAAACAGGTCAGCGCGCACCAGATTTTAATTTGGTTTCATTTGTTCGTTTTCCAGGAAACCGACTGGAAGGTGCTGAAGCTTGTCCTGGACAAACTGCCTTGGACGCTGCAGTACAAAGTGCTGCTGCTCACCTCGTCATGCAGCGTGGACCAGCTCTGTTCCACACTGTGTATCATGGTAGCACATGTTCTCTCTGTCTCTCTCTCTGTCTCTCTCTCTCTCTCTCCCTCTCTCTCTCTCTCTCTCACACACACACACACACACACACACACATATTAATGAGTTCACAAAGCAGTAATGGACCCACATCGTTTCCGTCTGTAAAGGTGACGGATCGTCAAATCTCGGAGCGTTTGAAAAAGATGCCTGAAGGTTTTTCCCGCACAGACGTCCAGCTGGCTGTGGTTCCCGTTCTCACGGCGATAACCTCTTACCACAGCTACCTGGACCAATCCAGACAGGTAGACATGACTAGGTTTAGAATTTAATTATTTTTAGGTTTCAAATTAATTCCCGGCCTTAATTTCCTTCTCCGACTGCAGAGAGAGTTGGTTCAGTGTCTGGAGACCGGCCTCATCTATCGCTGTGCCAAGCAGTGTGTGGTGGCTCTCACCATGTGCACAGTGGAGATGCCTGACATCATGATCAAGCTTCTCCCGGCTCTGATCGTCAAGCTCACCCACATTTCTGCCACCGTTGCCATGGCGTCTCCCATGCTTGAGTTTCTCTCCAGTGAGTTCGCAAAGTTAATCTGTGTAGTTATAATCTCAGACTGTAAGTGTGTGAAGTTCGGTGTCTCTGTGTCTTGCAGCTCTGGTGCGCTTACCCCATCTGTACGCCAACTTTGTGGCCGAGCAGTACGTAAGCGTGTTCGCCATCTCGCTGCCCTACACTAATCCGTCCAAGTTAGTGCCATCGCGTGTTAATGTGCATTTTGTCAGCCGCACAGGCTCTCTCTGATTTATTTCTGTTCATCCCCATCAGATTCAATCAATACATCGTATCCCTGGCCCATCATGTGATCGCCATGTGGTTCATACGCTGCAGACTCCCCTTCCGCAAGGACTTTGTTCAGTACATCACCAAGGTGAAACATTTTTAACGGTTCATTACCTCCAAATCTCTGTGTAGAAATATGAATAATGTTCATATTTAGATTGGAAACGATGTATGTGATTGGACTAGGCCAGGACGGGTTGACGTAATTTGCTTCAGGGCCGGGTTGTGTTGGGCTCAGGCTTCTGTGGTGCGTTTCAAATTATGGAATAAAAACAAAAGCAGTAAAATCTTAATTAAAATATGTCTGTTTTACTAGATAAAGTAAAACGGGTTGTAATGGGCTCAGGCTGGGTTGGATTTTTTTCAGGCCTGATATAAATTCTGTTTTGATTTTTTTGTTGTTGAATTCTGTGGGAAAGGTTCCACACTTCAGGTGGGAAAAGCCTCAAAATATTTAGTCTTGCATGTTTCCAACACAGAATCCCGGCACTTAAACCAGAGAGCGCTTTGAAATTCACTCCTGTTCTCAGTGTTTGATCTGGACCGACTCGTGTCGGTGCATTTCAGAGTGACCTCAAGAGATGTTTCTGTGCAGGGCTTGCGCTCCAACGCCTTGCTTCCGTTTGACGACGGACACGAGCAAAGCCCCTTCCGCGCGCGGAGCACCAGCCTCAACGAGAGACCCAAAAGGTAAAGCACATTTCCTGTCTCTGCTGACTTAGCAGCCGGCGGCACCGCACACAGCCCACTGTGGCCGACGTCTGGAGGGACGGGGGGGAAAAATACGCCGACATGTTTCACTGCTGTGACTCCTCTCGGGTTGCCATGGTGGTCATTATTCCTCCTACATCTTTTGTTTGCATTTTTAGAATCGATTCTGTCACAATTTGTCATGCAAGTGATTCATAGTGGATAACGTCGTCACTTGTGCGATGTTTCATTTTTTTTAGCATCATGTAATTCGGCTGTTTTTTTTTTTTTGTTGTTATTTTTGTACTTTGTTTCTCACTCACTAATTTACAATCACACAAACACCAGGATGAGATCAGAGAAGAGCAAAGAGTTCGTTCTCATTTCACTGGTGTTTATGATAAGGAACACATTTCATGTTCAGGAGGGAAACTCCGAGTTGTAGGCACCGTTCTTTGAGTAAGTCGTTTTTTTTCTCGTTTTGCAGCAGAACCAACTAAAAGAAACAGTAGTACAAACATGGCGAAGGACGCTAATGTTTTTGGATGAAGTCTATCCAGCTGAAATTTAATGACTCAAAACATCTTCTGAACGGAGAGCTGTAATTTTAGAACTATTGTAAAAAAAAAAGCAGAAAAGTTATATTAAATATACTGTTTTAAGGACTGGATCCTCTAAAGAACCTCATGGAAAATACCAAACAAAAACACCTTTTCCATCCTCCAAAATGCTTAACGAATGTGGTGTTTTCACTAATATTGGACTGATATTCAGTATTGCATTTGCAGTTCGCTGCCTTTCGAGGGGTATTTGTAACTTTACAGTTTGCCAAGTTGAAACCACAAACTCCTGTTTTGTTAACATTATAGACTGACACAAAGTGGTACATATTGGTGAATTGGAAGCAAACCCATGCATTGTTTTCTTGGCAGATAAAAACCTTAAAAGTGTAGTGTTCATTTTAATCTTATACTGCTAAACGAAATCCAGCCCAACCCGATGCCCGGTGTTTGATTGTTTTAGATCAAAACACACTGACTTGGCATAAAAGCCACTGGATTTCTGTGGTCCTATTCGCTATCAAACTGAATTAGTGGTAATTTTTTTTACTATTTTTGTTTCGGGGTTGAGAGCCTCCTGCAGTTTGGACCTTATAATATAAAATGTCTGTGGTTGCAACATGTCAAATATGACAAATGCAACTGGAATGAGAACCTCCTCCAGGTTCTCTTGTGGTTCCTCTACTAATATTACACCAATAATCAATATTAAGCCACCTCCAGTAGCTCACACATGGCATCATCATCCTTGTGCTTTTAATGTCTGCTGCAGGATTGGTGCTCAGCACGTCTTTACATTCATTCAGCCAATGCTGGTTTACTTTCAAGATTATTATTTGTTTAAATCCAAAGCTTTTCTCATATTCTTTAATATTTGACCCGCTGTTCTCCAATCCACATCTTTAGTCCAATAGTTTGATTTTGTTCGATTTCTGATGTTTTGCTTTCTATTTTGCAAAACCTGTGCTTTAGTCCTGTCATGGGCCAAAACTGCCACAATCCAGTAAACGTATGTTTACCTCAGTCTGATGGATGTGATAATTTAAGAAAATGGAGGTAATTATTTGGAACAAATCCAAATATTTAGACTATTATCAATTCATTAAATGCAGTATAAAAACAGTTTGTGTTTTAAAATCATGTATTTTTGTAATTAAAAGATATATTTTTGTACTTTAGTTCATGAAAGGACAGACCAATGGACTTGTTTTTAGCAGGCTTTGACAGGTAAAGTGTTCAGATAAACACTTAAACTTTAGCACTTTGACTATATTTAAATAATTTAATTTTAATGTTTTAAATGCAGAATATAAATAACATCTATAACATTGAAACATTTATTTGTGTTTTGTCAGAACCCAAATAAATGTTTACTAAACATTTATTTAGCAACTTTATTTATTTATGGATTGTGGCACTTTTGGTCCTCCATACCACCCATCCCTACTTCTATAATTCTGTCACATTAGTCGTTTCCGTCACTTTGAACCTGCTGAAATGTGTATTTTGTTGCTCTCCTGAATACTTCCTGTGTATTTTTTGATTTCTGAGTAGCAGAGGCTGTTTGACCCTCTGCTTTGTAGCTGGTGTGTTTTATTTTTGGTTTTACTGTTTCTTGAATCCTCTTTTCTTTCTCCGTTCTCCTGTTATCTGACTCATGTTGTTCACTGCTGTTAATTTTCACCTTATGTTTGTTTTTTTGTTTCTTTATTTGACCCCTCCTCCTCCTCTGCTGCCTCCTGCGATTGGGTGCTGCGTTGTGGTTGTGGTTTTGGGGGTGGTTGTGTCATCCTGGATCCTCCCCCACACATTGCCCCTGGCCCCTCCCCTTCTTTGATGTCTGTGCTCTGTGCCCCGCCCTCCTCCCCTCACCCTGCGTGGCGTTCGCCCCCCCCTCTCCCCGTCAACTGCTCGTGTTGCTGCGGTGCTCGGGTGATGATTCCTGCTGTCTCCTGGTGTACTTTTTGAAAAACCACTCCTTCCACTATTGCCCCCAAACCACTCCCATCGTCATGACAACCCACCCCTTTGCCGCCCAACGTAATGCCCACCTCGGTCCCCAGCCTGCGGGCTGGAAAAGTGGCAAAGCCGGCAGCATCTGTAGCCAATAGCAGCAGCTCTCCAGTTAAAGAGCTGAGGGACCTTTCGGCCATGGAGGCTTTCCGCTCCCGCAGCATCAGCGTCTCCGAACACGCGGTCCGCAGGTTAGAAAAGAATCTCCTTGGTAATGAAGCAAAAACAAAAAAACAAAACAAACCAACAATGACAGCTTAAACACTTGTTGCTTCCTCCATGGGATGGTTGATGGGGGGTCAGATGGGTCCGTCGAGGAGTCGTAGTGGGGTTGTTGTAAGCGGGACTCCTGGAATGGGTGGTGCATGCTGGAGGAAGGTGTGTGATGGCCTTTTTGATTTGTTTTCGGCTGCGTCTGTACATGTGCTGTTTTGGATTTTGTTCCTATGATTTGCTTTTGCATGCCGTGTATGTTTGCTGAAGCCATTGGAAAACATCATTATCCACTTTGATGTTTTTAGTTTTATTTTTGCTCTAACACAAGTTTTGCTTTTTTGAAATTGTTTTGATTTGTTCGCACTTTTTTGATTCAGCTTTACGTTTTTCTGGGTGAATTGCTGACTGGTTCCGATTGGCTTTAGTAGCAAATGAATGCCAAGAGGGACCGGTGCCGAGCACGTGCTTTCAAAATGGCGCCGTTTGTATTTCCCTTTGACAGCAACTTCGACCCACAGCTTTGGTCTCTTTCGCTCAGTCGGGGCGGGGCGAGCGCTTCTCCTTCCTCTGCCAATGATGGGCACAACAGCTTTGTTTGCCTGCTTGACATCTTTTTGGTTTCATTTGGCTTCACTATGACCATGGCAATCTATTAGGCTGGGATGATGCGAGTAGCTTGGGCCGAGGTGAAACTTTGACTAAAAATAGTTCTCAATCACTGCACACACTCACAGATTGTGTCTGCATCACTTGTTTGCCTCATTTATGCTCGTGTGTCCAAGTAAAAGGAGATCGAACGCTGCAGTTTGATGTGGTTACAGTGCTGCTACAGAGAGCCTTGGAAAAAGTATTCACACCTCATGAAGCTTTTCACTTTCTTACCAGTACATGGTACTGGGGGATTTTACATGATGAGCCAACACAAATAAGAGCAGTGAAAAGAAAACACATTATCTCTATCACAGATATTTTTCTTTGCTAAATCTGGAAATCCTTAAAGGGGCGGCATCATTTTCCATGAAGACGGTGCTGTTTTATAGCACAATCAAGTAACTATTACCTGCAGCTGTTCTAAAAATACTGTATATATCAAACAACTTTCAAAGAAATTTGACTGTGCAATTTGATGCCTTGAAATTATCCTCCGTCTCTTTAAGAAACTCCTGCTCTTTCCAACACTCCGCCTTAATCACATCATCACAACAATGCCATATGCTGCAATGCTTAGGAGTGTTGGAGTGAGAAATACTTTGTATGATGAGCTCAGCAGATATTCTACCTATTGCTGCTGCCGCTAGTCTGGAGGAGCTGAGTGGCTTAAAAGCTCAAGTTCAGTCTGATTGGACGGAGAACAGTCAGACTGATTTTCAAGTTTTGCGACAGATTCTTAGTTAGATACAGGTCTGGACTTTGATTGGACCACTTCAACACATGATGGCAATTTCAAATGAACTGTTCTAGTGCAGCTTTAGCTGTATACTTATTGTCATTGTACTGCTTAAACATCTGCCATAGTTTCAGCTTGTCTTTCAGTGAACAGCTGTGAATGAATTACTGACAGGCGAGCTCAACATAGACATTATATATAAGAACCAAAGGTGGCCTGAATACAAATGCCGACCACACTTCTTGATTATTATTCTTTTATTTAAAAAAAAAGGTTTCACAGTTATGTGATGTGTTAAGTTGGTCCATCGCTTAAAATCCTCCCAAAATTCAGTTCTACAAACAGAATTAGTGATTACAGACACATTACGCCTCAGTTTCCCAACAGATGGCAGCAAAACAGTGACATGTGTAACTTTTGGTTGAGGAACTGTTTTATTATAAAACTGCAGCGTAGATCTTCTTAACCTGCTTTTATCTGTTAAAAGGCTGCACATATAAATATGTTTGTCTTTTTGAAATGTAAGTTTATTTTATTTTGTTAAACCTGTGTCCATGTGGGCACCAACTCCAACACGACCATGTTTAACCCTCATCAGTTTCACTTATTTCCATTGATCATTTACTTTGAAAGCATAGAAATATATAAATTTTGATGGCTATAAATTTGGAGTGGTCAGTGGTTGTGTTTTTAGGAGTTTGCGCCCACTGCACAATCAAAAAAAAAAAAATAGTTAAAGAAGAAGAAATACAGGTAAGAGCAGAAAATATTGTAAATTTAATTCACATTCAAGGACTTGGTCTGAATGAGAGTTTTATATTTCTCCTTCTAAAAGGACAATATTTGTAATTTTCCTGCTTTTGTTCACAGACATTATCTGGAGAGAGAAAGCAATAAAAAACAAGCAAATTAGTACATCAAGAGGAAGACATAAAGCTTAATTAATCCACTTTGATGCATTCAGTTAATATTCAATTGTTTCTGGCCATCTATTATTTGTAGCTTTATTGTTTAGTTCTTTCTGTCTTAGTCCTCCTGTCAACAACAGACATTCGTTACGACCACAGACCGCGTCTAAATTCGACTCAATTAGAGATTTGACTCACCGTGCTATTCCTCTTTATCTGACTTGAGTCAAAAATATATCATTAAATTAGTCTGCCTGCATAAAACTAACCTAAAAATATGTGTTGCCTCTGCGCTCACTCAGACCAAGCTGCAGGCTTTGTCTGTGTTTTGTGTGCTCGATTAAAAAGTCTCATTTTATGTTTAAGCATGCTTATAAGTGCTCGTTTTGCATGTGATGTAGGTAGAAACGTGATCACCGGTATGCTGTCTCTGCATTTCTTAAATTCCCATTTGACTCCTGTTGTCTCGGAGCCGGCACGCCTACGTCCACTGACAGTGCATGCCTTTCTCTTGCTCTCCTGCTGTTTAGTAATCTCATTTCCCCCCCGTCTTTTAGGATGCACACTTCCACCACGACCTGCAGTCTGGGCTCTGCTGACGAAAATGCAGTGACTCAGGCCGATGAGGGACTCAAGACCGTCCACCTGGAGCTCACCGAGACGTGTCTAGACATGATGGCGCGATACGTGTTCTCAAACTTCTCTGCTCTGCCTAAGAGGTTTGTGGTGGTCTGTGTGTCTGTCTCTAATCAGACGTTCAAATGGCTTGTCACCAGTCGGGTCCGAACGGGCTGGAAATGGTCAGATTTTGGCCACCAGCTGATTTCTCTTGCAGTTTCAGTATTTCTGCTGGATTGTTGTATTTGTTGAGTAAAATGCTAAACGTCGAGCTCCCCGCTGTCGCCTTAGGTCTCCGATTGCCGAGTTTCTGTTAGCCGGAGGTCGCAGCATGACCTGGCTGGTGGGCAACAAGCTTGTCACCATCACAACAAGCGGCGGTGTCAGAACGCAAGCGTTGCTAGGAATGGATATGTCAGAGCGTCTGGGAGGAGGAGGAGGAGAAATGACCAGGTGATGCTCACTTTTTTTTTTGTCTTTTGCTTTACCTATTTTACAACCTTGCATGTACTTCGTATCAAGCAGATGACTAAAGGTGTAAAATTTCCTCTTAGCTGTTTGTCGTTAAGAAAAAGCACATTTACTCCATTTACAGGCAGTTTTATGAACAGCCGAAATTTTTTACAATTTTTTTCTGCATTCTACTTCTTCGCTCAAGGATTTCTGAACTTCCTTTGCTCCGTTGGGTTTGCAGGTCAGATCCATCTCTTCACACCCGAATGACTAAAGAGGCTCCGGCCAAACTGGAGTCGCAGTCCAGTCAGCAACAGAACAGAACAACTCGGACGCGAGTCCGCTCCAGGTCAGGTAAGACTTGTTCAGTTTCACAGACGATCGCCAGCCGTAGAGCTCCTGAAATCAGATAGCTTTCATTTCCTCCTGGAGATGTCACTCTGTTCACGTTTCCTGCATTTTTCTGATTCCTAATTTTCGCTCTTATTTGTATTCTTATTCTCTAAGTTGCTGATCTTTGTTCTTTTTCTTCCTCTTGTCAGTGTAAATATCTCATCAGAGCATCTGCGGTTCAGTGTGAACTTTGTGATTAAAGAGGCTTCCCTTGTTTTGCAGGTGGTCACGCTCTGCGTGCCGGTCCTATTCCGAGTCTCAGTCCTCTGGTTTCCCCCTCTGAGGGAGAGTTGGCCTCTCCTCTGTCTCCTTCCTCTGGCCCTGCCCTGGACGCCGTCGGTCCTCCCTCCTCCGCAGTTGCCGCTCTGTCTGCCCCCCCTCCGCTCAAAGACAACCCCAGCCTCGCCGAGTTTGTTCCAATGCTCACTCAAGGCTGGGCAGAGATCTTCATACGGAGACCCTCAGGTACGTCATCTCTTGGCTAGGCCCCTTCTGTCTTTGTTTTTTTAATCCACTATTATGACCTGATTCAACAGCACAGTTGTGCCTTCCTGGCACTTTGTTGCCTCAGGTAACACCAGCTGGCTGATGTGTCTGGAGAACCCACCCAGTCCCTTCTCCTCTGAGCTGGGCAACATGCCGCTGCAGGAGCTCTCCGCCGTCCTGATGGCGATGGAGGGAGTGAAAGAGCCTCCCACTCAGACAGCCAGCGCTCCAGCCAGCACGGCCGCCCCAGCGCCAACGTCTGCCTCCGAACCGCTCACTCAAACACACAGCAGAGCCGGAGGAAAGGCCAACCTGTTTCAGCGCTCGAGCACCGGTGAGTGGCAGAATGGGGAATCTTGGCGGAGATGTTTGTGGTCGTGAGTTGGATCTAAAATTATTCATTTATCGCTCCACACTTTGCATAAGCAGAACAGAAATTTGTACGTGATAGGGTTGTAACGAGATCTCATGATATTATAAAACATCACAGTATGTCTCGCCGAAGTGACTAGCATGGCCTCGCCTGATGAAGCTGTAATGGAAGATGCTCCAGCTATTAAATAATTTGTTTGGGTCCATCCAGTTTTTAATCTCTTAATGTAAAAAATAATTATAGATCAGACTATGGTTTATGGTATATGTGTGACAGATGGAGTACAGAGTCTTTAATACAAAATTTAAAATGTGTAGTGCATTGCTTTCTGCCCACTTGGAGTCAGTGTTTAGTTAAACCATATTTTCTCAATATGGTTTAGCTCTGGGATTTGACTGGGCCTTTCTGACACACATGCTTTACCTTAAACCAGTGGTGTACAAACTCTTTGCCACACAGACCAAAATTTGCAAATTGGAAGAAGTCTGGAAATGGAAAAATGTTTGTCCTATTTAAAAACTAAGTATGCATTTTCAGTCTGATCTTTTAATTTGAACCAATTCTAACAAAAAACCAAACAGTGATAAATCAAAGTAATTGTCAGATTTTTCTATAAACAAGATACAAAATCATTGTAGATCTCAAGCATTTCTTTTCTAAAAAAAGGTTAGAATTGAGTGAAAATCTCACTGTTTAAGTTTTGAATAAAATCTGTATCGGATGTCTGGGGGCAAATTGTGGGACAGTTTAACAGCTACAGATGCGTCTGGTAAGTAATTATGTCCTTCAAAGCAGTACGCTCAATGCCGACTCACCTGCCAGTGCTTAGTCTCAGTGGAACGGTTGCCAAATGACCAGCTGGTAAGAAAACAGACTAATCCTTTTAATCTTCTTTTTAATTCTGTAATTTCCTTTGCAGCAGATTTTTTTTATTTTTTTATTTTTTATTCTGGACTTCATTTTTGAATCTACTTTGTCTTTACTCTTTATTTACTCCCATTATCACGTATTGATTTTTCACTCTTTTTTTTTTTTTCTCCCCCAACATTTTACCCCCTTTTTTCCTGATTGGATTCTTCTCATGGTGTAAATGCTGGTTTGTGTTTGGCTGTGGCGTGTTTTGTGGTTCGATGTGCCGCTGTTCCCCCCTCCCCTCCCCGTTTGTCCCGCCTGCAGTGGGCGGCTCGCTCTGGTCTCTGGGTACGGCCAGTGGGCCCCCAGGACCTCCAGCTCCTGGCAGGTTGCACAGGAGCATTTCCTGGGCAGGTACTGTCATCATGTGTGAGCCCTCTCCTCTACCTCCCCGCCTGCTTTCCAGAAAACTCCTGGGGTGGTATATTTCTCCTCACTTGTACAAAACAGTGGTCTTCCAGACACAGTGCAGAGACGCTTTGGTGTCATTTTGGAAAATTCGAATTGAAATATTGAACAGATTTAAGCAAATGAGACAAAAATACATACCATCCGTATGTATTTAGAAAACACATTAACTTTTAAAACAGTAATGGAAATTGATAATGAATATCTTGCAAAATGTTTTCTTTATTTTCCACTTACAGATTAAATATTACGAGAATAAAGTGATATGAAATGATAGTATTAATTCTATGAAAATAAAGTTGTATTATTTTGTGAATATATCTGCAACGCTAAACACGCCGCCATCAGCTTATAACCATGAGCAGGACGCAGCCTGCCGCTGCTATTATGACTTTATTTTCACGTCACTACGGCGATTCTGGTATTCTTACAACTTGCAATATTGACCGTTTTATATTATTTTGAGTTTATTCTCATAACACTATGACTTTATTCCTGCAATTTTATTTTTTTTCTAAGCCCGGCCCTAATGCTTTGTGAGTGATACGAGACAACACTTTCCCATGTAGTCTCCTCTGAAAACATTAGCGTCTTTAGCTTTCTAAACTGGTGAACTTCTGACAGGATCTTGGAAATAAAGAGCTTCATAATTGTCATTAGGAACAATTATGAAATCACTAAACTGTAACTTTGTACTTTCACTTGAAGTGAAAGACGAATTAAAGGAGCATCTTGTTAGTTTTCTATCCTGCAAACATGAAATAAAACTCTGCTGTGTCTCACGACGGGCTGTTTTATGTACTTTGTACAAGTTGGGAATCTCGCCGTCCCTGCTTTTCATGAACGTCTCTTCCTAACCCTGGAGGGAAGTTCATCTGTGACTGATGCCTGCTCTCGGATCGGTCAATCAGTAGCAGAGGAACAGTGGAGTTAGTGGCGTTTTTGACGCCTCCTTTGATTCTTTTTTCTCTTTTCTTTCCTTCCCAATGTGTAACTCTCGAATTTCTGAAATATACCCCCAGGCGGCCCCCTTAACTTCTTTTAACAGGAAAGCCCAGATCTCATTAGGCACTTCTTGGCTCTACTGGGAAGCCAGTAGAAGCAAAGAAGCGGCTGAAGTTGCATGGATCTGAATGATAATGGAGTAGACAAGCGTGTGATGAATAAACACAAACTGATCAGAGCTCAGCATTTCTCCGTGTGATTCTCTGTAGGTCGTGATCCTTCATGGGCCTGAGTCTGCTGACTGATGTTTAAATGTGTTTGATTCTGTTTCATGTCAGAATGCATAATTTGCCTCTAAAATCTTGTTAGACTTCAGAGAGACTGTGTCAATAATAACTACTGACCGCTGCTGAAATATTTACTCCTTCACTCTTACAGCAGCACATGTCCGTGTGACTAATCTGGATGTAGTTCAGAGTGAATCGCCGATGCGTCTCTCCATCTGCGACGCATGTAACGATTGCTGTGTCCTGCTGCAGACTCTGTGGTGGTTTCCGAGGAGGGTTCAGGGGTCACAGCAGAGAACGCCCCTCTGGAGTGGGTAGAGGGCGAAGAGTTCGAGCCGATCCCCAGCGAGCCCATATTCATGTCTGACAAGGCGCCGCTTCCTGGACCGCTCAGCAGGGTAAGCCGCTGGCTGTGGCAGAAATGAACCCAAGGAAGTTGATTCTGACAAGAACCGACGGTTCCTGCAGAATTTATTTCTGTTTAACTCTCGAGAGTTTATCTAGATGTGATAAACGGGCTGCTTTTGTGTACTTCTAATTTATGACTGCAGCGAAGAACAAAAAATATTCATTTCCACCCACTTGTGTTCTTACTTAGTGGAGTGTGGGGGCCGTTTTAAAAGGACAATATAAGGAAAGTGGTGAGAAAATACTTTTCACTAGATTTACTCACATTTCCATTTATTTGTAGGCCTGCCAGGATTACACATTTTACTGAGCAGTAAATTAACCCGGGAGTTATCGCAATTAATTTTCTTTTTTGAGGCAACTTTCAAGTAATATAATGGTAATTGCATAACTATGCAAGTACCTTCTCTCAAAGATCAATAAACTTGAAATTGAATCCCTTCACCAAGATTAAGTTAGTTTTTTTGTTTGTTTTTTTTTTACACTTGACTTTTTATTCTGTGTCACTTAATGTGAAGTATGATGATGGAAAACACTGTTGGAGATATTATTTTTATTTTTTCTAAACAAAAACAAGATTGTCATACTTGTTTAACTGTAAATGTGTCTTTTTCTAATTTGTGACAGAAAAAAAAACATGTTTGCTTTTTTTTCTGTAGAGTATAAATAATATTTTTGTTGCACACTGATGTACGCTGGGCTCATCTGGTTTGGTTATTATATCATAAATCAACTTGATTCCTCTTGAAACTAAATTAGATATATTTTTTGTTACTTTCTGTAAGTAATAGCTTTTTTTTCCTATAATTTTATGAGTTAATCTGCTGGAATATGCTAAAGAAATAATGCTGTCTGTGCCTTCTGCCTGACTTTCAGTCGTCCTCCACTTCCAGTCAGGATGATGAAAAATCCACACTGGAGGAGGTGAGCGAAGGAGCGATTCCCATCGATCAGCCCAGCGTTGGCCCCTCCACCCCGGGCAGCCAGGGCCCCGACCTTCCATTTCAGAGCCACTCTCAGTCCCAGGGTCACGGACTAAACAAGTCCAGCTCCTCCCCGGAGCTGCAGACGCTGCCCGAGGCCTTCACCAAAGCAGCGTTGGAGTCTGAGAAAAGTCAGGGCGACGGCACTCAGCCCAGAGCGCCCTCAGATGGCAAGAGTCTGGCACTGCAGCAGCCCTGCTCAGACAAGGACAAAGGAGAGGGGAGCACCGGGGCAGATTTTAACGGAGCAGGAGGTCCGGCCCAGGGAGGCGAGGGCTCCGGCTTGTCATCTCAGAGTGGAGGAACAGCCATGAAGTTGGCTTTTCCAGCAGCACCGGCTCTGCCTGGCCCCATCTCGCCCGGCGGAGGACACCGACCCCGAGGTCACACCATCTCCGTCTCCGCCCCGTCCTCCAGGAGAGAACGGAAGATCGATAGGGACTCGTATCACACCCGACCCGGGCCCAGCAACACAGAGAAGATCTCCGGACTGAGTCCCAGGTAGTCAGCAGATTATTGAAGACAGGACTGGACCTGGACTTTGATCCACCATTACTGGATGGTAATGGTAGATAGGAAAAACAAAAAGACCGAAACTTTACCTGCTTTTTCTCCAGTAGGAGTTGTGCTAAATCTCTTCTCAGGTTTTAAGTTTGTTTTTTTGAAGATTATGTTTAGAGATTTACATTTCCAAATCATATGGGATTGTCTGGAGCCCCTTTGAGTAGTCAGTGTCTTCCCTGCACCAGACTGATAAATGTAAAGGTGGCCTCACATGTAGGCAAAATCAACAGCTCAACATGTCAATCTATCTTAGGAGCATAAAGTTTTATATCTAAAAACAAGCCAACAGCGTTTAGCATATTCAAAATATTATTTTGAATATTTTATGTAAAGATTCTCATTTCAGGATAATTTCTTGAAACATGTTTTTTTTTTTTTTTTAGCTTCGTCTTCCTTCAGCTATATCACTCTCCTTTCTTTGGGAATGAAGCCAATAAACCGCTGCTGCTGCCCAAAACTCAGGTAAGCCGCCTCTCCCCCACGTTGGTCTGATCCGATCCAATCAATGAAAACGGAGCGCTGCCGCATAAACGTTCAAAAGAAAGCAAACTCTTCCAGTTTATAGGAATATATTGAAAATGATCTGGTCTATTATGTGGAAATGATTGAAATGAGACACAGAACTGGTTCTATACTGGTATTTACATAAAAAAGGCAAAAACTAAGTAAGTCCTTTCATTCAACTGATTGTATTGATTTCATTACCCGCTTAAAGATCGGATCATTCTTTTATTATGTCTGGAAATGTGAGACTTTTCATTTTATAAATGAAGCAGAATTATTGCAAAAAATTTGATTTAGCTCAGGAATGCAAATACGTGTTGAAAGGGAACACCATGACAGTCCAGTCTCTCTAAGAAAGCCATTAACCCTTCATTGTCTGCTGTGCGTCCATCCCATCCCCGGCTGCAGGTGATTGATCGGGCTGTGAAGGTTCTGGACCAGATGCCTCCTTATGACACCCATAAGCTTGGAGTTGTGTTTGTTGGAAGTGGCCAGGTGAGAACACATCTCGTATTACATCATACGCAGCTGTGAAAAGCGATTTGGGGAGGCCAGCAGCAATTAAAAACACCTGGCGGAACAGCGCATCTGCTGAGTTTATCACACCGAGTACTTTTCAGGGCAACGCTGCATGAATCAAGGCTTAATGGAGGAATGTCGTGAGAAATTTGATATGTGTAGCATTTTTATTACAACTGAAGGTAGCAGTTTCTCGTTCGTGTTATGAAATGGCTCCAAGTGCCTGGAAAACAGGTAACACCGCCCCTTTAAGGAAATAAAACTATCCGAGCCAGTCTGGGTCAATGTGGAACAGTAATTACCTCTACACCGAGTAACAGGCTCATAATGTATAATGTTTCAAAACTTTCAGACTACTTCATGTTGTCGGATTCTGTTCTTCATTATTTGAAAACCGCAGTTTATTTTCTCTGGTTATTTTTGTCTCATATGCTACCATTTCTGTAACGATGTAAAACATTTAGGTGTGGCAAAATAGCAAATACAGAAGAAGTTTGTGAGTTATGTGCAAATACCTTCTCACAGCACCGTCCACCTCGATCCTCTTCCGTCTCTCTCTTCAGGTCAACAACGAAGTTGCCATCCTGTCCAACGAATACGGGTCGAACCGTTACGCCACCTTCATCACCGGCCTCGGCAAACTAATCCACCTGAAGGACTGCGACCCCGACCAGATCTTCCTGGGCGGACTCGATCAGTACGGGGATGACGGAGAGTTCACCTACTGTTGGCACGACGACATCATGCAGGGTGTGTGCACTCGCGTCACAGTGCCGGCTATTTCCCCGACGACTAGTGGTTAAGCTTTAAATGAAACCGTGTGTCTGCAGCCATCTTCCACATAGCCACGCTGATGCCCAACAGAGAGAGTGACAAGGGCTGCTGCAACAAGAAGCGACACATCGGCAACGACTTTGTCATGGTGGTCTATAACGACTCGGGAGAAGATTACAAACTGGGCACCATCAAGGTAAATGTGCGAACTCATTCAGAGAAATCACTGGGATGCATTTCAGTTGTCATTACTAAGTATGTTTCTCTCCGGCTTTAGGGTCAATTTAATTTCGTCGAAGTCGTCATTAAGCCACTGGACTATGAATGTAACCTTGTGTCTCTGCAGTGTCGGAAAGGTGAGTTAATTGCCGCCGTCTTTGTTCCTCATCGTTATCAACGTGACTCATTTTATTCCGCCTTTTCAGACCTCGAGGGCCTGGTTGACATCAGTGTTGCAAAAATCGTATCCGACCGCAACTTGCCACTCTTGGTTCGACAGATGGCTCTGCACGCAAATGTGAGTCTGATTCGTACTTCTGCAGTCTTGTGAAGTTGAAGTTTGTCACGTTTTGTCAAGTGTCAGCCAGAAACGTCAATGCATCTCATTATAGACCAACTCAATTTAGTATAATTGTGAGGTAGAAGGAAACTGATGCGTCGTATTCATGGGAGAGTGTGTCATTTCAAATTTGATTGTGTTTGTGTTCCTCGGTCTTAATGATGTTGTTTGTTCACTAATCTTCTCTAACAAACCTCTGAGGCCTTCACTGATTATTTAGATTAAATTCCAGAGTGTTTATTAATTAGGTGAAGTTTGAAGGTGTTACAGTAGTAGATTAAATATTTATGCATTACACATTTTCCATAAAAGTTTCAGTCATGTTTTGTTTTTCCTCTTTCTCTTTTCTGCTACTTCATCGTGTAAATAAAATAAATGGAAGTTTGTGGAATTGACATTAGAAAATATGAAATACTTTCAGGTGGTAAAAAGCACAGGGACCCTAAATGAACACTGAAGGAAAAAATTTAAAAAAAGAAGCTTTCTGCTGCCCGCTCTGTCGGTCTTTTTTATTTTATTTTTTCCGTGAAAAGACTCTTCACATTCAATTTCTTCCCTAAACTCCCCCAGAATAAATCTTTGCTTGCTTTGTCTAGATGGCTTCTTTGGTGCATCAGTACAGAGCGAATCCCTCGGATGCTTATGCTTCCAAGTGGCTTGCCAGATTACGACACATAAAGAGGATCAGGACCAGAGTAAGTTTAAGAACTCAAGAACCAAACGGTTGTCCCTCACCAACACGTTTTCCCACTTGCGTTTGCCAGTCTGAATTTGAACCGTCTTTTCCAACTCTGTGCTGCGCCTCAGGCTCAAGAAGACATCCAGTCCCGTTCGACTCCAGGAATCTCGCTGACCCAAGGACACACTCAGCAAAATAAAGCATTTCAACCAGGAGCTTCGGCTCCTGCTCCCGAGACGTCGGGACAGAGAAAAAGACTTGTTTCGACGGTGGACGACTTTACTGATTTTGTTTGACTTTGTTTGCAAGGGTGACTTTATTTGGCAGACTGAATACACACACACACACAGACTGGTTGTGTTTGTCTCAACTACTGTATGAATTAAAAGTGATAATTTAAAACAATCTGAAATCTTGTTCCTTATGGGATTTTTTTTTTTTTTTAGTGTGAGGAAACAAAACCTATTTGTAAAAAAAAGTTATGAGTTTTGCCGTTTAGTGCTGAGGTAGTTGTAAACTCTTACCAAGAGTCTGAAGACACCATTTTATTCATGGCCAAATACTTGAGATGCTCATATGTAGTTTTTTTTCTGGGCCATCTGACCCAGTCCTAACATTTCTATTTCAGTATCTTCTGGCGAAAATATTTTCTGAGCAGGAATGCTTTTTGAACATTTTGTGTTGTTTCTGGTCACTTTGCTTCCTACTCTTGTGCTTTTTGTAGATTTGATCATTTGGATATTTCACACTGATGTCCTTGGGGGTCATATTGTACTGTAATAGCTAATGAATACAACTAAATGTGGCTTCATAACTACTAAGTATTATGCAGCATGAAAATCCATCAGAAGACTTAAGTTGACTCAAATAGAAATCAGGACCAAAATACATGGAAATAATGGTGTAATAGAAAATGTTCAATTATCCAAAATAAGTTTAATACTTTTTTTTTGTCTGTTTACAAAACTCAGAAATTGATTACAAAAAGTGAACCGTCATCCCAGTGGCGCAAAAAGTGGCTATGCACTGTATGCAACGCATGAGGGCGCTGCGCTGGAGGGGGCGACAAAACGATGTGGGGAATTTTTTTCTAGTCTGCATTTTCCGTTTAACCCTCGTGCGTGGCAGTCGAAACGATGCAGTTGATACCGCGAACCGCACTCGACAACAGGGAGGTAAAAATGGCGCAGAACAGAAAACGTTAGAGGGGGGAACAAAGATGTTGGCGAGACGAAGAAAAGCTTTTGAGAAGGTAAATAATGTCTGTTTCAACAAGAAAGTTCTGAGTATTCAGGTTAGCTTAAGCTAGGCTAAAATGGCAGATGGTGGTTTTTGTCCAATAAGCTACGGAATTGTCTCATATTTGATTGTGTGTCGTATTGAACCGAGAGCGGGCGCAATTTGTTCCGTATTTCTATACATATCTGGTAGCCACACTTGTCGCACAGATCTCAACAATAATGACCAAAACATAACACGGAAATATCAAGGCCAGCTAAATTGTTGTGGCGGGAGCTAACTAGGACCCCTGGACGCTTTTTAAAAACCCGCGTCTTTTTAAAATGTCCGCCTTTTCTCCACCGTCCGTAGAAGTAAAACCTCTGGCAAGAATACAGACGTGAGTGGGAAGACACACATTCCAGACTAAACAGTTACAGTGAAGTTTATTTTGTCACGAAGATGGCGAGGCAGTCGTCTCTGCATCACATTTCCTCACAATTTGAACTTTTCCTTTATCTGACGTGTGACTAATTAGAGCTGCGTGCACGTTTATTGTTCAGCGTCCTGCGCTTGTTCCTGTCTAACGGACATCTGCACTTTGATTTCTTTCGTCTGTCTGTCTACGATTATAAATCTGCACAACATTGGCTCTTGTAAAATATGTTTAAAGTTACTAAATCTGGACTAAATTACCACCGACCCAACAAGACTGGATGTGTTCTTTTAGCTGTCAATACAAAAGCAGAACATGTGTACCGGGAGACCTTTGTTTTCCTCTCGCCCCCTACAAGAAGTTATGGAAAATCTTATCATTTTTGTCTTGTTTAATTACAATGCAGTATTTTTACTATATTTTTTTCACTGCCTTTTCTGATTTGGTCCCACAGAACTATAGCAGCATCAACAGGTGCAAAATTCACGATGACTGAGAGCAAAGTCCTTCAACTCATCCACACTGGAGAGAGGCCAGTGAGAGCAGAGATTCATCAGAAATACGAACTGACGTCTCACCCACGCTGGAGAGAGCGGAGCAGTGCTGGAGCGTCACACAGATTATGTTCACCAGAACCGGCATCATAAGAGGAACCGAACCTGTGGCTTTTAATTGAGTACTTTTATTTAAGGACAATTATTGAATCCTGGATTTTATGGAGAAAAGAGGACAGTTTTAAAGTGACTCTGTTGTAATAAAATACATTGAACCCGACTGCTTCGCTGTTTGGGTTTTCGAGTTGCTTGCTCCCCCTTGTTAGCTGGAATTTGTCATCACATCACCTGCTACTAATGTGCTACTTAGGGAGTATCAGCCAAAGTCAGGTTGTGTCCGCTTGTCTCCTGTTTTTAAATTATTATTGTGATTGGATTCAAAATGAACAGTTGCTGTCACGTTGATACTTGATGTTCTGTTTCTCCAGGTGAACCCAGTCGCTGTAGCAATAATGAATGATTAACTAGTGGGGGGGCAAAAGGGGAGGAAGGCATGGGTCACAAGTGCCAAGAATGATAATTAAAAAAAAAAAAAAAGAACAGAGCACATGTGACATCAAGGTGCACCTTTGACTAAAAAAAACTCCATCTGCCTGGTAATATGACACCGTTTCTTTCTTGTTGTCAATGTGGACTATTAAAACAATAATGTCCCATCACCATATTTGTGCATGTATTCTGTGATAATTGTTATTTTATTATGCGGAATTGAAATAAATTAATGTGTTCCTGTTCTGCTTTAGCACGACTCCTGCTGAGTCACAGTGCCCACAAAATTATTTATTAAAAACATATTTTGTCAGAAAACTTTCCTCATGCGATGTTTTTCACAGTCTGGATTTTCACTGAAAAGTCAGCAGAAAGAATTTACCTTTTTTGCATGTGAGGTTGTGTGGCAGACTTGCAGAGGACAAACAATTTTAGAGAGGAGATGAGTTAAACTACAATAAGTAGGGCAGGACCAAAGTTGGACCTGCCAAATATCTACTATATGAATTCCCAGGTGTGTCTCAATAACTTAAAATATCTTTAATATACATGATTATAAAATAGTGTGCCAGAATGAGCCTTTTTATAGCAAAAGAAAAATGCCACAGACCTGCAGGTCTCAGTGAAAGCAGTAATGGAGTCACTATTTGATACTTCAAGCATAATTGTCATATATTTTTGGGCGTCCAAAAGACAGTAGATATATTTTGTTCAGACAAATAAAACTCTTCTGGACGTTAGTGTAACGTCAGGAATGCTGACTTTGCTATGTTGCGAGTGAGCCTGGCAGAAACTTTTCACTTTTCTTTGGCACTTTCTTTTTTTTTTGCTTTTTTGTATTTTGTGCTGAATGTATTCACTTTATGCCGTCCATTGGTGAGAAATCCACACTTTCAGGCCTTTGTTTTGTCCCGTTGCTGTGGCGAAACGAGTGAATCGGTGTGTTGTGCTCCATTGACGAGGGACTCAGAGTTGAGTTAGCTGAGTATCACAGAGCCAAGTAGGTTTATCTAGTCAGGGTCTCGTTAACTCGGCTTCCTGGAAGTTCATAGAGCAACAGTTTTCAGCCAACACACAAGTTTTGACCCAACCCACAATTACTTTACACCGTCCAGGGTTTAGCTGTCAAACACTTTATTCGACTTTGTCAAGTGCAAAAGCACAAGAGGTGCTACAAACTGCATCGATACAAGGGGAGAAAGCGCAGAGAAATGCTTTTAAGTTCACTTTTCAAATCACAAAGCTTTGTACAACAGACTGCAAAAACATACACAGTTTAGCTTTGGCACCATGCTCTTGCACACACTACATACACACACAGAGAGGATAAGTGACTGCTGAACTTCCCGTGGTTTCTACTAAACTGACAGTTCTGTCAAACACGGAGCGACTTGAGCTTTTTTTGGCTGTTGTGCATCACTTACACCAGAAAAATGCAAAACTTTGGAGACTGCAACACCAGTGCTTGACGTCAGTGTGTGCCACTGTGCACAAATTATACAGAGACTCAAAAAGCGGAAATATATACATCCCAAATAGGCCCACATATATACACAAATTATACACAGTGGAAAGGGGGTGTCTTTTAATGCTGCATGAAGAAAAAAAAAATAAAAAATCAAAATCTGTTGGAAAAGCTAAACATTCATCCTCTTTTAAAATGAGGCCGACACAATGCAGTACCGCTCCTTCAGCATTCATGTAACAAATACCAGTATGGGATTATCTTTTGATAACTGGACACTTTTGCATGGATTTGGCTCCATCTGTGACAGAGACGACGGGTTCCCTGAGTTATGTCCACTGGACACAGGAAGTGCGTGCATTAATACGACAAAAACGACGACAAAAGAGCTGGCGAACGAACAAATAAACACAAAGCTACTGCTTTAGCAACACGGCACAAATACTTACGGAAATGTCCCTTTAACGTAAATGTACTCAAAACCCGACACATGATTAATTAAATATGGTGTTCAACATCATCTACGTTAAGGAGTAAAGTGCAAGTACAAAAAAACAAAAAACAAGAATGGGTGTATGACTAGATAAAATCGAAATGCATAAATGATTTAAAAGCTTTGGCAGCGCTTCTGGTTAAGTAAGTACAGTATGAGTGAAGCTTTCTGTTTTTGGCATAGATACCAAGCTTATTATTTTATGCCACATCGCATTTAAAATGACCTACAATTTTAAAAAAAAAGTGCTTTAAATTCGATTCCATATTAACCACAACAACAAAACAGGAAATATAATCAGAAATGGAGTCAGTATAGCTTTATAATTGGTGAACGTCTGTCATGTTTAGCTGAAACCTTCATTTCCATCCGTTAGTCCCTTAATTCCTTTAGCACTTACTATGACTCTCCTTCAGAACCCTGCCTTGGCTTTCTGTCGCTTCTTCTGGCTCCGATCTCCCTTCTCTCACATGAACAGTGCTGGTCACATTTAATGCCATATCTACTGAGGAAAAAATGTGTGAAAAGCCTTCAAATAAATCATCCAGTATCACTGATCTGCTGATGGTTTTTATGTTTAAATCTATTTCTAAAGTGCTACTTTTGTGGTTTGAGCGCACAAGAGAATTTTCTGAGATGTGGCGTGAAAACGTGATACTTTTCAAGGTTTGAAACCATGAGATTCCACCATTGCCTGCGGTGCCACTGGAACCGGTGAAGGACGTGATCGCGACTTCCTCCTTCATAAAATGTAAACAACAAAGAGGGAGTGGTGTCAGATTTTAGCAGTTGTAGGATTTCTCTCTCGTCTTTGGCAAAAGACCACAAGCCATTTCTACCGCTCGCAAAAGACTCCCGTTTGTTTTGGTTGTATTTACCCAGAATACCCGGCGCTACAATCCACCTCCTGCTTTTGCAGTTCACTTGAACACAAATGTGACCCAGGTTTTAAGGCACACCAAGGTCTGATTGGACGTTCACACCTCCCCAAACGAACCAGACCTTTTGAGGCGGACG